GTTCTCGGCGGCGGAGGGCCGAGCGCTCGTGCGCGCCGGGAACGACGCGCGCAGGGCGCAGAACAGTTAAGTTGCAGTCAGGGTAGTTCGCTGAACGCGCCGAACAAACAGGTGTCTTGCATGTGCCAATTACTCCGGGACATCTGAGCTCTGGGGCGCCGGCACAGTCGAACCCATTGCGAACTGCATTCTTCAAATGCGCGATAGCTCGAGTCGAGCGAGCCGCCAGTTCGAACCCATCGGCGAGCGGGCCCTTGAGATGGCAGTCCTGGTAGGACTTGCCATCGGTCGCCCCGGGCGACTCACCCCGGTCCCCTCGGGCAAAAGGGGGCGCCGTGCGAATCGCATCTCGCCCTGCATCCAATTCCAGACCGACATTGCTTGTCTCTTTCGGCGGGCTTACCGCTCTCGAGTGCGCAACCGCCGGTGACTTTGAGAATGTCATGTTGTCTCGGGGTTGCTTCGCCGTCGAGGTCCGCGGAATTTCCGCAGCTCCTCGCAGGGGTCTTCAGCAGCGTCGAGTTCCAAACTGGACCGGGATTCGGGCTCCCGACGAAGTTGCTCGACTAAACCATCGGTTTGGCGATTGCTTTCCTCCTCGCACGTCTCGACATTTGCATCGAGTGTCGAGGAGGACGGGTCGAAAGCGTCGTCGTCCGAAGATGCATCGATGGGCAGTATTCCTGTGCCTATGTTCGGATCAGCTCCCGGCCCGGGCGTATCCGGACGAAAAGGAGATCTGTCGCCGCTAGAAGCGGACGCAATAATGTTCATGCTCGTAATCTGCGACGAGCGTTCGGGCCCCTGACATCGTCAGGGTCTGGAAAGACGACTGCTGCCGCTTCTTGAAAGACATTTGGATTGCTTGGTGCACTAAAAACATCATTATCATTAGTTCTCGAAGGGGGTGCCTCCTGGCCTCGTGGAAGACCTTTCGGCTGATAACAGATGTTTTGTTTATATATCGTCATATTCGGTAAACGTGTCTTGGTATTAACGGGCTGTTCTGCTTGTTGATCTTCTTCTCCTAGAAACTCACGATACTCTAATCTCCCACTACGAACTGGTGAATCCATGCCTAAGTAAGTCCGTTGAGCGGAACTACTTTGAACGATGTATGATGTACCCGTATGCGCGCGCGTATGGCAGGCCCGCCCGGCCGGCCGGCGCGCTCTTTCGCTTGAGTAGCTATACGCAGCTGCGGACACAGTGATTTCGCACGATCCATGCCTTACCACCACCCTGCAAGGGAAAAGGGTAGATGGCTGTATGGTTAAAAAAACGCGAGCGCGCGAGTCGACACCATCAGCTCGCATGCGGGGATCCATTCGTGCGAGAAATGCAAGCAAGGGTGAGCATGCTTCGACACCGGCAACTTCAGTTTGATACTGTTGCTGATGCGTCGCGTCGCTTTACCGCCCAAGGACGTCTTGGGGTAGTTGCGTCATAGCGAGACTTCGAGCTGGTACGCTAGATCCTCCTTATCCTCCACCTCCATGATATCCCTTCCCTTTTCTCCCCTTCCCCTCCTCCTCCTGCTTCTTCCTCCTCCTCCTCCTCCTCCTCCTCATCCTTCAGTTCCTCCTCCCCCCAAACCTCCTCCTCCTCCTCCTCCTCCTCCTTCAGTTCCTCCTCCCCCCAAACCTCCTCCTCCTCCTCCTCTTCCTTCTCCTCCTCCTCCTCATCCTCCTCCTCACCCTCATCATCCTCATGCTCGTCCTCCTACTCCTCGTCCTCCTCGACCTTCCCCGCCTCCGCCTCCTCCTCCTCCTCCTCCTCCCCCTCCTCCTCCTCCTCCTCCTCCTCCTCCTCCTCCTCCTCCTCTCCTCCTCCTCTCCTCCCCCTCCTCCAGCTCCTCCTCCTCCTCCTCCTCGTCCTCTCCTCCTCCTCCTCCTCCTCCTCCCTCTCTTCCTCCTCTCCACAGCACCACAACCACCATCGTCACCACCATAATTATCCCCCTCCTCCCCCCCTCCTAGGTCCTCACCCCCTTTCCTCCTCCCCCTCCTCTTCTTCCTCCGTCCCTTCCCCTCAGTTTGTCCCCATCTTCCTAAGCCAACCTCCTACTCTCCTCTCCTTTCGTCTTCCTCCTCCTCCTCCTCCTCTTCTCCTCGTCATTCTCCCTCCTCCTCCCTCCTCCCTCGTCCTTCCTCTCTTGTCCCTCCTCCCTCCGCAATTACACAGTATGAATACTACTCGACTCTCTCCTGATGACGTCCGGAAGGTATCTGGCCCCCCTTCCGCGTACTGTTATCATTTAATGCAGGACTCCCGGGAAATGGGTTTTCGCTGGTGTCCTTTCAAGATGTTACTCCAGCTGAAACGCTGGCCTCCTTTTCGGGCTTCCGCTCGTTCCGAATCGTGCTCCCGCTGCAATGTTGGCCTCATTTCCGCGCTTCCGCTCGTTCCGAATCGTGCTCCCGCTGCAGCGTTGTCCTCATTTCCGCGCTTCCGCTCGTCACGGATCGTGCTCCCGCTGCAGCGCTGGCCTCAGAATTTCCAGCGCCATGCCAAGGTATGGTCCTCGGTCCTTCCAAACAAGCTCCAACATCTTGAAAATTGTCTCCCGAAATGCCCATCGGAAGTGATTACACATTCGGTGTCGATTTGTTGATTTTTTGAACCGCAGAAGCCCCCCCCCACTGTGGGACGTCGCCACGCCATGCTATGCCATGCTACGCGTTGATCTTCAACACCATGCTATGCCATGTGATGCTATACCATGCTGCGACATCCGATTGTGCGACAAGAGAGGAGGTCTACGCCATGGTAAGGGAGGGGAGGGAGGGGCAGGGCTTCAGATGCGTCGCGAGCGCACCTGGCTTGTCCCTCTCCCATCCCTCCTCCCTCCTCCCTCCCTCCCCCCTCTGGCGCCTCGCCCGGGAACGGGCCCTCCGCGCCGGCAGCTTGCTGCGGGAGACCTCGGCCGCTTCCGTGCGGCGGCGGCCACCGCCCCACGGGGACACGAAGGAGATCGAGGCTCGAGGCTCCCAGGGCACGAGGGGGGGTCGAGGCTCGAGGCCCCCAAGTCTCCAGCGGGCTGCCTGTGTCTGTGAGTCCCAGCGCTCTTCCTTGGCTGCGGCCTCTGGGGCCCGATGGCAGGCCCACGGGCCATCAGAACTTGGCCATCAGACGAAAGCTCCAGCCCCTGGTGGGAATTGTCGGGATCTGCGGGGCCGCGCCTCGAAAAAGTAACCTCGTCGGATGTCTGGGTTCGAGGCTCGATGGCCGAAGTTCTTGGACGCTTCGTCTACAAGACCAGCTCGAGGATCGTGGTTCGAGGACCGAGGCTCGTCGACGTCTCTCCAATCCATTAAGAAGCTCCTCCTCCTTCTCCTCCTCCTCCTCCGAAGAGAAAGGTGAGTAGGGAGGGGAAAATGATGAGGAGGATAATGGGCCAGGGAGAAGAGGAGGAGGGGCGCGACGCTGGGGGCCAGGCTGCAGATCTGCGCTGGCACCTCGCTCCGGGATACGTGCAGCAAGCCAGGCGGTCGTGAATTGAAGGCCTTAGCGGCGGATCGCCTCCTCCTCCTCCTCCTCTCCTCGGTTTCATCCTGCTACGGCTGCTCCTCCCTCGCTCCTCCTCCTCTCTCCTCCTCTTGACCTTCCTGCTGTTGTGGCTGCTGCTCCTTTCCCAGCTTCTCTTCTGCCTCCTCTTCCTCCTGCTCTATCTCCTCCTGCTCCCCCTTGTGTGCCTCTTTCTCCTCCTCATCTCTTCTGCTGTTGCTCCTATTCATCGTACGCCTCCTCCTCCACCATCTCGATATTCTACTCAAACTCCTCCTCATGTACCTCAATCTCCTCAACATCCGTCTCCTGACCATCATTTTCAGACTCCTCTCTTCTTCCTGCTTCTCCTGCCCTTGTCTTCCTTGTTGCCTCGTTCTCCTACTCGTCGTCTTCATCCTTGTCGCCTTCGCCTTCGCCATCGTCGTCGTCGTCGCCGTCGTTGCGTCGTCGTCGTCGTCGCCCTCCTCCTCCTCCGCCTACTCGTGTTTCTGCTGGTCATCCGCCTCCTCCTTCCCTCCGGTTCCTCGCTCTCCGTGTCTTGCTCGCTGCTTCGCGCGCAGCCACATGTGAGTCATAGTGGGCACAAGTCGGCTGGCGGGCTCGTCACTGAGTAAGCTATCAAGTTTCTCTCAACAGCAGCGTCAGTCCCGCCAACCAACACCACACCAACAATCGGTCGGCACCGCAATGTGGAGCTCAGAAGCTCCGTGCCAGAGAATATGAGCTCATCGGTATTACAGCTGATGCCACCAAGATCACAATTCGCAGGGGGGAGGACGCAGGGCAGCAGGGAGGAGGGAGAAATGGTGAGATGGAGGAAGCATCTTTGAAGCGTGCGACCACTTTCGCACCAATGAGGTTGAACTGGGCGACTTATCGGCAGTCCAACATGAAAGAGGCGTACACTCTTTCTCCACGAAGCTCGGCGCCTACGAATCCCCAGGAAAACTTGCACCTCGGACGCCACAGACGCGTCGAACATGGTGAGAAAATCACCCCCAGAAGAAAATTGACCGGGCGAGAGCCGCGCTCGCCCTGTGGGGGGGGGGTGGGGGGGGGAGCGGGCGCGCGGCAGGATGAGCTCCTGAGCGCTCTGTAGAGGGTCGGTCTGTGGACCTTGAACACCCTCTGGAGAGCGTTCCTTGATTTTCGGCGATGACGGGTGTCATGGGGGGGGGGGCGGGGGGGGGTATGACGTGACGCCCCCCCCGCCGTGTGGCTTTGGCACCACAGCCGCGCCCGCGCGCACGACGACGATGAGCAACGAACGACGACGACGACGCGAGCAGCATGTAGGTGGCGATCTGACCCACAGCGGTTTTGTGTACACCACAGTGCTCGCGTGCACCACAGCGCGCGTGTACATCACAGCGCCTGCGTACACCGCAACAGCCGTGTGCAACGCAGCGCCTGTGTACACCACAGTGCTTGCGTGCACTACAGCGCCAGTGTACACCACAGCGAATGTGTACCCCGTAGCAATCATGTGCAACACAGCGCTTGTGTACACGACAGTGTCTGCGTGGTGCACACCACAGCGCCTGTCTGCACCACAGCATCCGCGTTCAACGCAACGCTGGTGTGCACCACAATGCGTGCGTGCACAGGACAAGTGGAAGGAGCATGTCGGTGAGGATCTGCTGCGGACACCTATAAACGCCACGCCCGAGAAGTGTTGATAATACAATGTGGCGTTTTTCCCTGTTCCCTCCTCCTCTTTCTCCTCCTCCTTCTCCTCCTCCTCTTTCTCCTCCTCCTCCTCCTCCTCCCCCTCCTCCTCCTCCTCCTCCTCCTCCTCCTCCTCCTCCTCCTCCTCCTCCTCCCTCACCCTTCCCCCCTGTCGTGCGGGTGGGCACGACAACGCACGTGCGAATTTCAGCGTGCACCGCAGACTGGATTATTGAATCGTTCCACCTGGTTCTCGGACGGCCGATTTGCTGGAACCTCCTGGACGCAAGTGGGAGGAGTTAGGATGATGCGGGCGGACTCGGGAGAATTCGTACATTCCAGCGGAGCTCCTTTTCCAGAAGGATTCCCCTCCAAATCCTATATACAACAACTGTTACATGTGGAATCCACAGGCGCTCCATTTTGTTTTACAGATCTTTTTGGACATTATATATTTATACAACAGTGGTGCTCTGTTGCACACGGCTGCTGTGGTGCACGCGAGCGCCATGGTGTACACAACCGCTGTAGTGCACGCAGGCATTGTGGTGCAAACTGGTGCTGTTGCACACGGCTGGTGTGGTGTACACAGGCGCTGTGGAGTACACAACCGCTGTGGTGCCCGCAGGCACTGTGGCACACACTGGAGCAATGTTGGACGCGGCTGCTGTGGTGTACATAGGCGGCGTGCTGACAACAGGCGCTGTGGTGCACGCAGGCACTGTGGCGTACACAGGCGCTGTGGTTCAGATCGCCACCGACATGCTGCTGCTGCCCGTCATCGGTTATTCCTAAGCATTCCCAGGCGCCGGCGGCTAGAAACGTGACGTCATTGGCCCCCTCCCCCCCCACATGATTGCCGTCGTCGGCCCTGAATTATGAACAGAAAAAAGGCTCCAGCCGCGTCTGCGCGCACGACGACGATGAGCGACGAGCGACGAGCACGACGACGACAACGACGACGAAACGCGACGAGCGACGAGCGACGACGACGACGAAGACGACGACGAAGACGACGACGAGCGACGACGACGACGACTGCGACGACGACTGTGGACCAGACTCGTTTGCGGATTCCTATGCGGACACCATTGCGGATCTCGATGCGCACGGCGGCAGTGCCCGCCGCGCACTGGGGGGGGGCGTTACGTCATAGGGGGGGGGCGGGAGCCATGACACCCGTCATGCCCCAATCAATAAAGAAACACTCTCCTGGGTTATGTCGTCCTCTTGTCGGCTACACGCCAAAACAACTTTAAGCAAGAGCGACCTTTGGTACTCGGCTGTAGGGCTGGTGGTGGTGGGCAAGCCCAAACGCGCAGGCCGCTGCAATCGCATCCCACTCAGCGGTCGGCGATCGGGGGACCTCGGTGGGCCCGCGCTCACGGGCACTCTGGCGAAGGCGTTCGATCTGGCCCGTACCTGTTCTGCGTTCGGCGTGGTGCTCGAGTGGCGCTTGGGTCCGCCAATATCGAGGCCCTTGGTCAGGCCTGCCCGTCTGCGCCCCCGAACTCGGCACGTCGGCGAGCCCGCGATTGGCTCGCCGAGTGCGGGCATCCAGCTGCTGGTGCGAAGCTAGCGGCCAAACTCGCTGGGTTTTCAGCGGCTCGGATCTCATGTTCGGTTGCTCTGTGCCGCTCCATGTTCTGTCCAGGCCAGGTACCGTCTGATGGCCCCTGTTTCAGCTGGAACTATGAGCAAGAAAACTATCAGTTAAGACATCTTGAACAACTTCCTGGACATTTCTTAAGCCAAACCTGGGCCAATTTCTGTTAACGCTGAGGGGCGAACGTGCTCAATAAACTGGGCCAACTTTCTCCGGCAAGTTGGCTCAGAAACGCTGGTCCAGCATTTCGGTAGGTTTATAATTCGGATGCTCGACTGTCTTACTCTGCGTCCTGCGTCTTCTTCCTCATCCCGCAAGCCAAATCCGCCGCGCCGCTTCTCCGAGGTGCTCGCTCGGCACTGGCCTCCCCTGCTTCCCCCACCCGTCCGACAAGCCCCGAGAGGCGCCAGTCCGGCCCCAGCGAAACGCATCCTCATCGCCCTTTGTCACCGCCCAGATCCCATAGCTCTCGCCTCTGGATGTGGGGTATGCTGAGACGAAGGCAGGATGCGGGCAAATTTGGACGAGGATACGTCGGGCACCTCTCAGAACGGGCGGGTTTGGAAGACACGCCGGGCGCCGCGGCCGTTCCGGAGCGCCCTGGAACGCTCTGAGAGCGCTCCCGAAGGCTCCAGGGCGACCTATCCTCCTCCCGGGCCTGCCGGGTATGGTCGGCCCCTGGCCCCTCGACGGTGGGATGCCTCCCGCAGCTGCGCCAGCTCCATCTGGATGTCCTCCGCCAGCCCGGCCCAAGACCCGCGCGGCATGAAGAGCGGGCTGTACCGTCGGTCTGCCTGGCGTCGACGGGGTGTCTGCTGCACGGCCGCCACGGCAGGTGGGCGGGCGGGCCCGTCCGAGGCCTCGTGCCAAGGTCATCTCTCAACCCCTGCCGCTCACCTGCATGATCACACGCTGACGCGATACAATACACACTGTTTCACTGCACCGTGGCCCATGAGAGAGCGTCTTGCTCGGCCCTCCTTCCCTTCCCTTCCATTCTGGCGCAAACCCTCCACACCCCTAACACCCCCATCCCTCGGGAGTCGGGGGGGGAGGGGTGTCGAATCCCGCCCAACTCCGTAATTTTGACCCGCAGTCATAGGGCTCCTCCCGAAGGATTCGGGGGGGCCAGAGGGCGATCGCTTTGCTCAGCTGGCTCACCCGTCTTTGGAGCCTGCTCAGGAACCACTTGTCTCGGGATTGGCTGGAGGGAGAGGCGGGCTTCTGGAATGAGGCTATCAGAGGTAGCAGTGCCCTGAGAGCAGCAGTAGGCAGGCATGATGTTGTTAGTGCGGGCGGTCACCCGATCTCTAGCGCTGGGGGACGAAGAAGGCAGGCATTGATGAGTCAGCGGGCGCCATCAGAGCCGCTCATGCTAGCATCCTCTTTGATGTGAGCTAGGCATAAACCTACTCATGCACAGGGCCCTTGACCTCCGCTGCTCCCCCACCGTCCTCATCCTCTCCGCTCAGCTGTACCTGGTCCCCAGAGTCCTTAAGGAGCGCTCCGCCTGTAGCGAGCCAATTCTCCCTACTCTGGGGATCACGGCTGGCTGCAGGAATGCAGACCACGGGGCCGCGGCGTGCTTGTACACGATTTCGGACACGCTTCACAAGCAATTTTTCACTCGTGGCCTAGTGGCCAAGTCCTGGGCCGATGACGTGAATTTCAAGCTTGAGGGTCCGCGTGACAGTTTAGTCGATACCTCGACGGAGGCGGCGGTGGTCTTCTCGAGTGCAGTTGCTGCCGACGGCCTTCGACATTCGGGCAAGTCGGCCGTGACTACCTCGGACCGTGCCCTAGCAGCCGAGCTCGCGTGCTCTCTCCGCTCAGAGGGTCTCTGTGTGTGCAGCCAGGGAGCTGCGGCCGACCTCGGCATCGAGAGGGGGCACCGCAGACTGCATCACGCCACTCGGCACCGAGCTCGCATGAAGTTGGCAGGATGGCAGGCCAAGAAGTTGCCTAGACTGGCCCATAACACACCAGGAGCTCGGGCTGCCAGACGGGTGGTCACCACAGGGCTCATGCCTAGGATCGGAAACCATACGAAAGTTATTCCCCTCGCTCCGCAGCCTCTGACCCTCCTCCGTAGGGCCCTTGGGAAGCTTGCCACCTCTCGTGCTAAGGGTAGGTGCCTCAACACGGCGCTGCATGTAGTCTATGGGGACCAAGACCCAGCAAGCGCTCACCGTCAGCCTCTGGTTCGAGATGCTTTCGCTTTCGGAGTTGGCCAAACGGAGAACTAGACGAGCGTGGCCCATTATTTTGAACAGTTTAACTTCCATCCCGCAAAACCGCGGATGGAGGAGAGTCAACGGACTCATCTCAGGAACCATCTGAGTCCCTTTGACGGCTGGATGGACGCCCCAAGGACCCTGGGAGTGGACTCATCCCTCGCGAGATCGGTACGCGGTTAAGGTGGAAGATTTTGAGCGAGACCCAGACTGGGAGCCTGTGTTGGAGGTTTCTTGTCTTTTATATATAGATATGACTCTTAAAGGCTCATGCTTTGGAAGCAGCCGTCTAAACGTTGCAATGGGGGGGCTTGAGCGCGGGGCCGAGACGTCGGATGCCATGTCCAGGATGCGTGCGCTGGCGAGGAAAGGGGCTAACAAGCTCCGAGCTGCCCTCAGCACAGTCATGACGGCGGAGAATTGGCCCAAGGCTCGCCTCGCCTAAGCAGGGGTCAAGGTCGACTCGGAGGTGTGTCCGCGTTGTGAGAGAGTTGGGTCCGACTTTCACCGCTGTTGGGGTTGTACTGCTAATGATTCACTTTCCAGGTGCAAAGATGCCCAGCACCTCAGGCAGCAGGCTATCGAAGGTGCTGTGTCTTTCCCTTGCTACTGGCTCCGAGGGCTCATCCCACGAGAGTGGGTCGTGGTGCCAGAACCGCCAGACGACTTGCAGGTCATCCTCGACCCGACGCTGGAATGGAGCTCCCCGTTCCTCTTCCCTCAGGTGCGACCCCGCACCCGCTGCTGGGAGGCCTGACGGAGGGGAGAGAATCTGGTTTGCAGGTGACGCGTCAGGCGGACGTTTTTCTTCTCACCCGCAATTGAGGCGTATGTATTGGACTGTCGTTGCTACCGGTTTTAGAATCGACCCTCGGCTGGCCAACCTGCCGCTTCGAGCCTCTGGGGGCTTCGGTGGCGCACTCCCAGGATCCCGACATGGAATCAACAGCGGTGGGCTTTTTGCTTTCGTAGACGCCACACAGCAGCGTGATTTGACCTACGTGACGGACAGTGCGTTTGTCCAGCGTGGATGGGTCAGGCTGCGCTCGAAGGCCCAATGGAGGCCGAAGTCCCACCGCGATCTCTGGTGCCTCGCTCGAGAGCTCTGGGGTGGCCGAAGCGTCCTCGTGGTGAAGGTTGCTAGCCGTGCGACAGAGACCGAGCTGGAGCGAGCCTCAGACCAGACTGGAGCTCTTTCCAAATTAGATGACCTGGCCGACAAACTGACCAACCGCTTTTCTGCAACTGCTCAGGTCCCTGGTACGGTGTCGGAATCAGTGCTGGAGCTGGAGGCTGAGTCCAGAGGCATCCGTGGCCGACTGGCAGGTCTCCTCGCTGCCATGCCGAGTAATAAGCCTGATGGAGTGCCAGGCCAGGGACACAACCTGGTGCCAGGGCGTGCCAAGCTGAATTTGCAGGAGGAGCTCGAGCGTTCCACCCATCTCACGGAGAGCTCGGTCGTGAACGGTCGTCGTATTCGTCGCTGGAGGTGCTGCTATGTGGTAGCGAGCCTCCGTCGAGAGTCAAGGGTGCCTGAATTCGTTGGCTCCGATTCTCCTGTTCTCCCACCCCCATCCCTGTCACTGTGCGTGCGGCCCCGAGGTTAGAGGGGCCGTGCAGGAAGGGGCTCTCTGCTCACCCCTCGCATGTGCTGAGATGGTGGGAGGTGGGAGCGGGGGCGGTCAAGGAACGATTTTTGGCTTGCTCGCGATGCGGGGGTCTCGGTACCACCCATTTCAGATCGACGGGCATTCTTGTGCAGCCTTGTGAGGCCCCCATTAAGACGGGGCTGGAGAATCTTCGAACGTTGGAAAGGGGAAGAGCCCCTGGCCGCACCAAATTGGCCAAGCAGATCTACGTGTTGAAGTGAACTGGACGGGCGCGAAACCCAGGGTCTAATCTAATGTGTGTGTATATATATATGTGTCGTCGTCGTTGTCGTCGTCAGCGTCAGCGTCAGCGTCGTCACCCCCGCCGCCGTCGTCGTCGGTGTCGTCGTCGTCGTCGGCGGCAGCCTTGCCGTCGTCGTATTCGTCGTCGTCGTCGTCGTCGTCTTTCGCCCGCGCGCAGGGGGGGGCGCCAACTGACTTTCCAGAGCGAGAGGTTCAACCCGCCGCGCCCAGCTTTCGGTGGTGGTGGTGGTAGTGGGAGAGGGGGGGGGGTAGGGGATGCCCAGTACCTTGCCCCCGCAGGCGCCCACAGAAGACCCTGATTCAGATTGACACTACGTCGCCCGACGACGCGCATGCGCTCTGAATGTGTGTTGGGCTTCGCTGTCAAGTATTCCTTGGCCCTGGGGCAGCCCCAGAGACGCAGGGAGCGGCGCCCGCACTCTTATTCGGCCGCTGAGCGGCGCTACCCCCAACGAGGGAAATAGGCAGTCAGACTCGCACACTTAGTCGACGCGGATGCCCCAACGTGTAAGGCGAAGCCAGGACGAGGATAACATTGAATCGAGAATCTCTGAGATCTGGCAGCTCTGGGATCTATCTCGGGCGCCGCGGCCTTCTCAGAGCGTTCCGGAACGCTCTGGAACATATTCACCCTCGCCCTAGCCCCGTCCGAACATGCACATCTAGTTCAGAACGCTTTGAATGGCGAATGTCTGAACATGGGTAATTATGAGTATTGGAACGCCAGCGGATGTGAACGCGAGTCTGGATGTGAGGGGCCAAGCGGTTATGGGTGGGTACGGGTAGGAGCGAACAGAGCCTCGTTCGCGTCCACGCCAGGGAAGCACGCAGTGAGTCAGCGCCGACGGTGCGCATCATCCGCCGCCGTGCCCTGAGCGCTTCAGTGGAGCCTCGTGGAGTTGCCCCGAGAATCGCAGGTTGCGATTGGCAGCAGCATTGGCGTGCTCCCGAGTCGTCAGAATATCTGGGCGCCGCTGGGCGCTCGCGGGATGCTGCGCCCGGGTTTCCTTGGGAACTACTAGGGCTCCCAACTTCGCGCTTCGCGCTGCGCGAAGCGCGAAGCGCGAATAACTTCGCGCTCTCGCGCCGTCCTCCCAAAGGGAGAATAGGAGGACGAGGAGGAGGGGGAGAAGGAACGAGGACCGCGAAGCGCGAATAACTTCGCGCCCTCGAGGGAGCCCTTGGAACTATGTTGTCAGGAGCAACTATGTTTCAGACACTTTGGCCCTAGAGGGTGCCACCCCACCCAAGACGGCCCCGAGTTCCCTCAGGGACCCCTGGGCCCCCCCTTCCCAGAGACCCCGACAGCCAGGGCACGGTGGCGGCAATGGCCGTGCCGCATGGTACAACGCACAAAGCCCCGCGCACTAGGCATCGGACTGGCGTGGCCACAGGCAATTGACACTGGACAGGCTTCAGCCAAGCGTGAGCAGGGCGTGTCTCTGCATACCAATCCTGCGCGACTGCACTGCGTTCTACATGGACATCGGCACTTGGACTGACTGAGTGACTGGCCTTGTTAGGGGTCCCTACGACTCCAAAGTGCTGCAGTAGGCCGCTAGCGACGCTTTTTCAAGAGGTAGCGGAAGCGAGTTTTGCGAGAAAATGGAATTCAGGTGTCCCCAACCAATCATGTGGATGTCACCTTTGCCATCTGAAGAAAAGGCTGCGCAACACCACATACCTTGGTTCAGAAACAGAGGCAAGATGGCGTGTGCGAGCGTGGGCTAGGGAACGCGTAGCGTCAATTTGTGTTCGCGTGATTTTGTTTCCGGCCAGCTAAAGACGGCTTTTGCTGTAAAGATTTTTTCCGCGGGCACCAAATGGTCCAAGACAATCAGACGCCGGTCAGCAAGCGATAGGGTGCACCGGGAGCGAATTGCGGCACGAAGGCGAGAGGCTATAGAAACAGACCAGGCCAGTCCCGACCCAGGGCTGGTGCCGCAGTGCGTACCGCACCCAACATGGCCATGCAGGTCAGTGCAAGCGTGGCGCCATCCCACCTGCCGAGTACCTGTCCGTGTGAGCCTCCCAACGAGACCCCAGACTGCCTTCTGACCAGTCTTCGTGCTCACGAAGTGAGAGTAATTGTCCTGGAAGCCCTGCACCGCCGCCGGGTGCATGCGCAACGGCTTCTCCTGCGCGCTTCGCACCGTCCGCTCCCTGTCGATCAGGTGGGAGGGAGGGCAAACGGGATGAGAGCAGAGGACGGGAGGGGGCGGGCCAAGCGCCCACTTGTCACGCAGCGATGCAGGAACTAACGTGCTCCAGCCAGGACGCTGTCGAAGGCGCCGCTTCCAGGAAGAGAGCGTGGGGCACACAATTTTTCAAATGCTCTTCCACAAAATTCCGAATGCTCTCTGGCACAGTCCGCCGGTCACCCTGAACGAGCACACCGTCGACCTTTCTGCCCAAAATGGCCCAAAGAGGGCCTCCGAAAGGCTGCCATGCTACCAGATGGCCTCGAAATTGTCCAAGAAGGCCTCCACGTCGGACAAGATGGCCGTCCGTGGCTTCCAGGACCGCCCACGACGCATCCATCACAGCCAAGATGGTCCCAAGACGGCCGAAGATTGCCTCCAAGCCTCCAAGACGCTCGAAGACCCCAAAGAGGGCGCCAAAAGGCACGAACCATGTATTCCAAGTGTTGTTTTATTGATTTCGGTGTTCTCGCCTTCGAGGGCGTCCGACAACCTCAGACGGCCCACGAGGCCTGCAAGTAGAGGCCTCCAAGAGGGCCACAAGACGGTCCAAGATGGACTTCAAGTCGTTCAAAATGGCCCGACACAACCTCAAAGACGGTCCACGATACCGTCCAAGATGGCCCAAGCAGGCCAAGATGACCCCAAGACGGCCCCAGGCCGTCAAGAGGCCCTCAGGAGGCCCAAGGATGGCCCTGAGAGGCCCCCGAGAGGCCACCTCCTCGTGGCCGTCGTCGTCCTCCTCCTCCTCCCCCTCCTCCTCCGTTCATCCTTCTTTCACATATCATAACTATAAGTAGTGCCTTCCTGTCGCATCACCAGACGTGTCCGCGGGCGTCGCCGGGCGTTTTGCTTGAGACTTCCTTGCAAATTCACACCACGGGACTTAACAATTCGAACAATGACACAGATGGAGGGCCTCTCGCCCTAGCGCCGCGCACGTTCATTTGAAAAGCTTGCAACAGCTCCATCGATAGAGGGCGGACCGTTTTCAAAATGTAGCTCTCGCCGCCGCGTCGTACACGGGTGGAGACCGGTTCGTTTTCAACATGCGGTTCGCCTCGGCGCCGCGCGCGATCGTCCCTTACTTTTCCAACATACGCGGATGGAGGTCCGGTCGTTTCGAACATGTGGCTCGCGCCTTCGCGCCGCGGCGCATTCCTCTGAACGCCTCCAACAGTTGCACGGATGGAGTCCATTGCTTTGCGAAAATGCAGTTCTCGCCCGAGACCTTCCCAACAAACAATACAACAAATTTTCAAATGGTGCAATGGTTACACGGATGGAACGCGGCTTCTGTTCAGAATGGGGAGCTCGCCGGAAAAATCTTCTGATTTTGTGACTAGAAATGCAACATGTGCAGCAGCTGCAGGGGTGCAAGGGTGTTCTGTTCAAAGCGAGGCTGTCGCCGGGCATTTCCTGATCCTCATAAGTCGAAGGAGCGAAGGCGGTCTCCTTCAAAACGGAGCTCCTGCATGAGTTGCGGGCCCATGTGCTGCTCGTCCTTCAAGGGGGGGCGCTTTCCCCAGTAGAGCACTCATTCAGGAACTAGTGAAGAGGGGACTTGGGATGGGAGTGTGTGTTGCAGCGTCCCTGATGCCTGGATCTACTCTGGTCCTCCTTCTCTTCCTCCTCCTGCTCCTCATCCCTCTTCTGTTCCTTCCACTGTTCCTCACCCAAGCGTTCCGCCGAGGATTTCTTCAAAGGCTGTGGAGTCACACAGTCCAATACTCTGGCCAAGCTTTGGCCCAACGTTTGGCCGCATCGACGTGTCCAGAAAAGCAGGGGCGGCGGTGACTCGCTATATGCGTCCTCGATAGTTCGCGAACAGATGCAACTGAACAACGCGCATACACATGAACAACAACATTCGGTGACGTGTGGCACGAACGTATTCCATAAGGAGATCCCACGGCCAATGGAACAAGCTGACGCATTTCACACATAACTCGATGCACATCAAACATGCAGTCACACGTACTGCAACGGTGCAACATGGCATCCACGAGCATGAATCGCTCTTAAGCGAATGAAGTATTTCAGCCACGACTGGGAGCGAGGTGTGCAAACCATAATTTGAAATACTTTATAATGGGCAAGTCATCGTGCGGAGGCATCCCTGTGGCGATCAAAATATGTTTGGCACAACAGAATCGGACTCTGGATGGCTGCTATCTTTTGACGCGCGGCACGGGCCCCTCAATCAATCTCTGCGCGTCTTGCCCTTCGTCCCTGCCTTCGCTTTTCCCCCCCCTTCCCATACTCCCTCGCTCTCTCTTCCTCGTCCCCCAGCCCCTGCTCTCCCTACCTTCTCCCTTCCCATCAACCCCCCTCTTGCCCCTCCCGCCTCACTCTTCTGCTCCTCCTACTGCGCCCCTTAATGAATCTCTCCATGCGCACCTTGTTGCGCATCTCCATGTCCAGATACACGTTGTCGAACTCCTTCCGGATATGGTCGGGGGGAATGACGGCGACAACATCGTTATCAACAATAGACGTCCGTCCGTTCCTCTAGTGGTACTCAACTATCCGCCCGCTCTCATGACCCCGTTTTGAGCTCATGTTCGTCAATTGCCAAGTTCCTCTCTCGCTCTTGCTGCTAGAACTGTTGACGAGCTGCCCGTCTTTCTTCCCCGTCTTCATCAATTGGCGTCTGCTGAGCTCTAGCAATAAGCACGTGACTCATGATAGAGATCGGCAGATTACTGATGCGGCGCTGAAGAGCTAGTAGCACGACAGCATCTGTGCACGCATAAGAGCAATCAGACAAGCAAGAGACACGTATGCGACTAAACACGCAATAACATAACCGCGAAGGAATCGCTCAGTCGCGAAAACACGTGCGCAAACACAAATGCAAGCACTGAAGCATGCAGCAGAACGCATCCCCATACACCCATGCAAGCACGCACATAAGCAACGACGCACGCACGAACGGATGAAAGTAACTCCGAAAGACAGCGCACACGCAACGAGATGAATCAGACTCGGATTCGGCTCGGATTCGAAGCTCCGGCGGGCAAGCCTGATCGGAGAGTTGCGCGATGCGTCATCTCACGTGCAGTACCACGGAATCACCCATGGGTACACATCCATGAGGGAAACGCGACGTGACCACACCAGCACACATAGAAAGGCGATACGCCCACCTTGAGGTTTTTAGCAGATGTGTCAGAATCTGGCGCCGATGCAAAAATGATGCCCCCCTATCACCCGATGTCGTTGCCCAGTTGGGCACTTTCCTGCGTGCCCACTGCTGCACGAGCTGTGCTCGTTCAGTCTTGTTGCGTAAGTCTGTTCGTCCCAGACACATTCTCCAGCGCACGCTGAGCGACCTTTGCGAGCACAACTCTGTGCATGCATGCGTTCAACACCTGGGCCAACGTCCAGGAAGCAAACTGCTGAGTCGCTGCCGCTACGCCAGAGAGACGTGGAGTTGTTTTTTTCCTACCGGCGCAACTGCACGCCTAGCCATTGTCCCGTACTGCGGTATGAACGAGTTCCATCTTAGGCTTTCAAAGTTAGCAGCAAGTCCACAGATCCCGCTGGTGGCGCCGACGTTCTTGTTCCCCGACGCCGCGGGCCCCGCTGCCCAGCCCCCACCCCACTGGAAAAGGGATAATACACACGCAACCAACACGTGTGCGATTTAAAAGGAAGTTCGCGTAGACAGGAACCCCGCAACTCCGATAATTGCAGCGTCAATTTGATTACTCCTCGCCCTCCAGTCGTCAGGTGGCACTTTAATATATTCGATTGTCCTTCGCACACCTTTCCCACCCTCTCGTTCCGTGTCTCTTCGGGCTAACTTGAAGGAAATAGCTGTGATCGGTAACCACACTCACGCTGTGAGCACTGTCTGCGACCGTGGAAGGGACGGATCCATTGAGGGGGGGCGCTTTGCCAGTCCTTCGGAGAACAGACCCTCGAGATGGCCACCTTCCCTTTCCTGGTATACCAGGGCCTGCGGCGAGCCCCTGCGGCAGGCCTCAGTTGCCAACGCATCGTTGCCGTTGACATGCACCGCCGCGCCGCTGCTATCGCCATCGCCATCCGCAACATAAGCCAAGGCTTTCATCAAGAATTGCGAGGGTCACGGTCCGAACACTGCAACGCTCTGCCTCCATTGGGGTAGCACGCAACATATATATATATATATATATATGTATATGTGTGTGTGCATCTATTCCCCAATCAGTGCTTGCACTGAAGGGGTCCTAGCGGAAATTGAAAGATTTGGCGAACATTCCCCGCCGTATTTGGTAGCAAGCTAGGTTCCCGGGTTCCCAGTTCCGGTTTCCTGGGTTCCCGGTTATTGGTTCCAAGCCGATTTCCGTGGGTTCTGGGTTCCCGGGCTCCCGAGTTCCCGGTCGATCTCCTCAGCGACAACCATCCACTGATTGGGTTTTTCTCTGGTGTTATATATATATATATATATATATATATATTTATGTATAAATTCAGTGGCCACCGTGACTCGGATAACAAGTTCTCTTCCTTCTCATACTCCTTTGCTTGCATCGTGGTCCTGGTGGAAACGAGCCGGTTGCGCAGGGTCAATCTTCTCATCCCGAACCGTTTTGCGATGGCCCTGTGGCCTGGGAAGGTCACAAAAACTGCGGGAAGCCTGAAAGACCCATCTCATCCACGCAGGTCTGTTTTCACCACACCCAGACATGGATCGGATGGTCGCTGCGCTTACGCAGCAAAAGAGAGGCGTAGGCGGAGCAGTCCAGCACGCGCAGCAGCAACAAGCGTGAGCTGTAGCTGCGCGCTGCCATTGGCAAAGAAAATGCAGCGCCGTGTTGTCTTCCAACGGAAGACGGCAGTCTGGGGGGCCGACGCTGGCGGCCTGCATGCCACGCGGGCTGCGGTGTCGGAGCCGCCCGTCTTCGGCGCCTGAGGTGGGTCCTCCGCCAGCTTGCCGGCCCTGCGGCATGCTGCAAGCAGGACGTGCAACATTTTCGCTGGACGCCTGTCGGGATATATTTTGGTTTGCTTCTCCCGTCGCGCCCCCTCGGGCGGCGCGTCTGGGGGACCCGGGCGGAGCTGTGTTTGAGACAGTGCGTGCGGGCGTCGGGGGGCGGAGGCAGAGGAGAGGTCGCGCGCGTCCCCTCCGTGTTCTCTATCCTTCTGCTGCTCTGCTCTGCTCCTCTTCCCCGCAGCTCCCGCTGCCACCTCTCGCCTTGTGGGCTCGCGGCGCGGAAGCGCGCGGAGCTCAGGGGACCCCAACCCCGGACACGCTAGACCGGGACATCCAACACACCTCGAAACCGATTTTTCCAGACGGCGGCACGAACAACAAACTGCACTGCACAAGAGGGCGGCATGGACAAACATCTGCAGTGCAACACTCCCAGAATAAGCCAGGACACAAGCAATGAAAGCCTGCAAAACCCCCCCTAGACCCGGACAAAGACCCGAATCCTGCAATACAGCTACAGAACAATGCACTGGACGACCAATTGCAGCAACAAACATGCAGGAAAGGGTGTCGTTTTCCCGACTTGCCATTGTCCTTGTTAGTCTTTGTCCTTGTCTCGGGGGGCCCACCACCGATCCGAGAAATCCGCGCGGATCTCCAAAATGTTATGTTTATGCCATTGGTTGTTCCCCGATCCTCCGCCTCCTCCTCCTCCTCCTCCTCCTCCTCTCTTTCCCGCCGCGCCGCTCGGACGCCACAGGCTCCAGAGAGCCGGGGTGCTCCCGGTCGAGAAGCCCTCCCAGGGCCGCGCGCGCGGCGCGTCCTGCCGGAAGCGCTCCGTGTGGCGTGGCTCTGTGAAGTTTACGAAGCCGAAGCCCACGTTCGTGCCCTCGGGGCAGGACCGGTCCGTACCGAACCAGTGAAGGGACCGAGGGACACACACACATATATATATATATATACACACACATAAATCCCAGGATCCCCAATATTTTCCATATCTTCTGGATGCGCTGCTCGTCTGCCCCTCGACTTCCCATATATTCATTCTTTTCACAGGAGTCGAATATCATTTGTGTCTGAGATTTCTCTCCCTCCTGAACCAGGAGAACGCATCGAATCCCGACCTTTACCCTCCGCACCCTCCGGGCGTAAGGTGCGGCCGCTGCGGCCTCGACGGTGGCCGCCGCTGCGGCCGCGACAGCGGCCGCGGCAGCGCGGCACCTGCCGCGCAGAAGGTGCAGGTCGAGGGAATCGAAGCGTGCGTCAGATCGGGCTGCGTTTGCACGGAAATTAAGTTGAGTCGGATCGGCCGCGCCAGCAAGGCCGCCCAAAACGACTCAGGATGAAAATGGAGTAAGCGGGGGCCGGGTCCCTAACGCGACGAATAGCAAATGGCAGTGGCACCGGGGGCCCCAGAGATTCGTAAAAGATTATCGGGGAGCCTTACGACACCACGTTCCTCCCCCCGTGGCTCCCAGTGCAGGGAGGTAGTGAGCAATAAAAGAACTGAGGAGGTGTGTGTATATAAACATGTACGGATATGTATGTATGTACGTACGTATGTATGTATGTACGTACGTATGTATGTCTGCATGTACGTATGCATGCATGTATGTACGTACGAATAGGTGCGTGTATGTATGTATGTATGTATGTATGTATGTATGTATGTATGTCTATATGTATATCTGGATGTGTGTGTATGTATGTATGTATATATAGAGGTGTTTCTGATTCTATGATGTATGTGTGTATGTGTATGCATGAATGCATACTTGTACTATATGTATATGTATATAGGCATGCATGTATGCATGTGTATGTATGTATGGATGTATGCATACATATATATATATAAATATATATGTACATGCATGTATACATATATGCATGGATGCATGCATGTATGGATGTATGTTTACGTGTATACATGCATATTTATATGTAGGAATGTATGTATATGTGTGTATGAATGCATGTATGTATGCATCCATATATACATGCATGTATGTATGCATGTATGCATGTATGCATGTATGTATATATGTATGTGTGTACGTATGTATGGATGCATACATGTACGTGTATGTATACAGACATGAATGTATGCATGTATGCATGCATAGTTATCGTGTTGGATCTTCACCACCACCTCCTCCTCCTCCTCCTCCTCCTCCTCCCCGCCCCCACCGCTCTCTCGGCTCTCTCCTCTCGAACCCCTCTTGGGGGCCGCGACGTGTAAAACTGTCGCCACTTTCGAGGGCTGTTGGGAAAGCCCGCGCAATGGGGCCACACGCAATTCCAAACGGGACCTCGCCATCACTGGGGGGCTGCGAAGTGTGAAACTGTCGCCAGTTTCGAGGGCTGCTGGGGCGGCCACCACAATGAGGCCACACACAAATCCAAACGGGACCTCGCCATCCCTGCGGGGCTGCGAAGTGTGAATCTGTCGCCATTTGCGAGGGCTGCTGGGGGAGCCAGCACAATGCGGCCACACGCAGGTCCATCCAGGACCTCGCCATCCCTGGGGGGGCTGCGAAGTGTAACATTGTCGCCACTTTTGAAGGCTGCTGGGAGGGGGAGGGGGAACACAATGGGGTGCCACGCAAATCCAAACAGGACCTCGTCAGTCGTGGGGGGCTGCGAAGAGCCAACACAGTGGGGCCACACGCAGATCCAAACGGGACCTCGCCATCCGTGCGGGGCTGCGAAATGTGAAACGGCCGCCACTTTTGAAGGCTGCTGGGGGCGGGGGGGCAGCACATTGGCTCCCACGCCAGCCTCGAGGACCTCGCCGTCCCTGGGGGGGGGGGGGGCTGCAAAGTGTAACGCTGTCGCCACTTTCGAAGGGAGCTGGGGCGGCCAATACAGTGGGGCCACACGCAAATCCAAACGGGACCTCGCTATCGCGAGTGGGGCTGCTGGAAGGGCCAGGGGACCTCGCCATCTCTGGGGGGCGGGGCTGCGACGTGTGAAACTGTCACCGCTTTTGCAAGCTGCTGGGGGGTGGCAACACAGTGGTGCCCAACGCACATCCAAGCGGGACCTCGCCATCCTTGGGGGGGGGGGGCTGCGAAGTATGAAACTGTCGCCACGTTCGAGGGCTGCTGGGCGAAGCAGACGCAGTGGGGCCCCACGCATATCTGGAGGAGGCGGGGGAAGAGGATGAAAAGGAAGCGGGGGAAAAGGCGGAGGAGGAGGACGACGAGGAAGAGGAGAGGGAGCAGGAGGAGAACGAGGACGAGGAAGGGCAGGACGAGAGGAGGGAGGCGATGGAGACGAGCGATAAGGATGATGACGGATGGATGGGCATCGCCTTTGAAGGTCGGGGGGCGAACGCGCCAAAAGCAGTGGGGGGATCGAACCGAGCTAAATCGCTCCTGGGGTTCTCTTCGCCTCTTCTTTCGTTTTTGATTCTGGCAAGCAGGGCCGCCACCCTCTGCTCATGTGCGGGGGCCGAGGGGGCATCCGAAAATGCTCGCGGAACGGAGATAACACTCACACCAGGCCGCACGCTATAATCTCTCAGAACTTCGAGCTTAGCTACAGGCGACGCCATGTCCAGCATAGCTCTAGCCTTCATGTTAGGGCCAAGCCCACGACGGAATCGACTAAGGACATCCAGCCCTTGACGCGTTGGCTTCAGGCAAACCTCCGCGAGCTTGACAGCTCTCCCCTGAGACCAGCCACCGCACTTCAAACACATAACCTACTACTCACGCCACGGGCCTAGGCCCAAACCCGACCGAGGAGTTTCAATAACCGTGCCCGGCACCGCGGCGAGGCGATGCCCCAGGGGATCACGCAGCAGCCTCTGAAGAGCAGGTGGCGGGCCTTGACAACCAAGCATGGGCCTGTCGGGTCGATCACACACCGCCCAACAGTACCTGCACTGCATGCCAAGTTCAGTCCGCCTTCACATATGCCAGGCTCGCTCTAGCCGGCTCCGGCCCGAACCGACAACCGGCGCGCACTTCCACCGCGCTTCAGTTCTGAAGAGGGGGAGGAGGGCGGTAGCCAAGTGAACAAAAACGTTAGCACGAGCTTCGTCAAGCTCCACATGTTGCAGGAAAACAAGGCTGGGCCGCGGATGGTCTTCAAGGGCCTTCTTGGCACGCTCACGCGGCCCGATTCGCTAAACCGAAACGACGAGCATCTCCCGTTAAGCCCTCCAGGGTCTCAAGCTCCCGATGGGCCTTCGCGCGGCCGTGGAAGGTTGTCAGAAACTCGGTTCCAGCGAATTCATGCGCAAACCACCTAGCCCCAGCGAGCTTATTCGCGTCTGCAAGCTGCTTCCAGAGAGGGCGATGAACTTGACAGACCACAGCTTCACGATCGAGGGCCGCAGAGGTTGAGCAATCTGCAGCCTGGCCGCAGAGAGCTGGTGCAGCATGTTCAGCCATTGCGGGAATACGGGGCACCCCCCTGGGGCGATCCCCCGCAGGATAGCAGGGAGAGAGACGGACCCTGCCCCCAGCAACGCACTGGCCCACGACGCGCGGTGGAGGCATCGGGAGGCCTCCTTCGCGCAGCTCCCATGCGCCGCCGTCTTCAACTGGGCGGTATCCTGCGAGGGCGGCTAGCTCCTCCGGTTGCATATTCAAATCAGCCCCCGCGCCATCACAGATATCGCACTGAGGGCAGGTGGAGGGAGGTGGCGCACCTGGGCCAGGAAAAAGAAACGCCTCGAGTAAAGGCGCGGTCATCACTGCCCACCCCTTCTTCTAAAATCTGCAATGGGGTTTCCAGAGCACCGTGGGCCCCGGCGACCTCAAGCAGACGACGAGCACAGAGGCGATGGTGCAACGTGTCGCGCCGTCCACGCGCACGCACCCCGTCTGAGGCAACCGCGATCACATGCGCGCGCCTCCGTCCAAATCGAGCATGTAGCACAGGAGAGTGAAAGAAACTGCCGCTTGAGGGCCATGCTCTTCGCGCGCGTGTACATGCGCCCTCGGACAAGATCAAGCGTCGCTCGCGAGACCGAGGAGGAGGCGAGGAAGCGCGCCGCGACTGATGTCTACGACGGTACCCCAGTGGTCTACTCTCTCCGTGCCTGAAACGGCTTTCCCACCAGCGCGCCGTGGATGCGCAGTTGCTCTAGCAAGGCGGCCGCTGCTGGACTTCCAATCGATTGCGCTACTGGCCTTAGCCCCCCCCCCCAGAGCTGCAAGAGTTCCTGGAAGGGCACTGGGGCACGCGTGGGATTGACCTGGGAATTCCAACGCAATCGACACCACTGGAGCACAGGCCCGATCGCAGCCCCCACGTCCCATTCGCCATGCAAAACAGCCTTGGCGGCTGCACTGGCTCCACCGTGGGGCGGGGGGACACGTCGGGCCTGGGCTCTTCGCGCAGCGTTGAGCTCAACATCCGAAAACCCTAACGCCTCAGAGCCGCGCGACGAGGCAGGAGCAACGCCCGCGCGAAAAACCTTGGAAAAGACCTGGCTTGGCTTCGCGATCGGCACGGGCATTCGACCTCACAGGCGCAACTTCGCGCCTCACAGACGAGCGCGCTGTTTAACGCGACACCCAGCAGCAGCCCGCTCAGAACCCGCAGAGCCATCGCTGCCTAGATACGTCAGAAACGGCTTCGCAAGCGTGGGCTCAAGCCCCAACTTGCGAACTGTTTCGCGTGATAGCTCGTCGTTGCGCCAGCGCCGAACAGATCTCGACCTGTTGTGGCTGCGAGCTGAATCACACTACTGCGGCTCTGGCCAGGAACCAGAATGCCAAAGTCAATTATATACAACGTGAAACGCACGAGCGGAGGCTGACGCAATATAAACTCATCAACAACTTCAACCGCGTGAATCTTGAGACTGGTATCATTGAAACAGTCACCTGCAGGTAAACTTAGCTCGGCACGCACAGCCCCGTCAGAGTGGTGCTGTCGCAAACGCAACGCCCGAGGAGCTCGTCACGCGTCGAACACAAGCACCAATGATGCAGTGGATACTTTGAACTTTGGGAACTTGTGTTCCTCGACTCAATGACGGGCATCGTCTCATGATATTCGGGATAGCCGGCTGTGAGTAAGATGTTGCGGCGAGGGGATCTGCCTCAGCCCTCGCCACTTGTGCCCACGCACAATCCACCGAACCCCTCCCCCGACTGGCCCCCCCCAGCGCCCGCGCACCACGTCCTCCGCGACGGACTCTAGCATCGGTCTCCGCAACCCTTGCCGCGCGCGATACATGCCGCTGCGCAGCACTGTTAGACGATCTCCCGTTGACGGCTTTGGCAGCATCGGCGTGGGCACCCAGAGCAGCTGCTTGGGCAGAAGGCCGAACGCCTCGCAACTCTCCGAGCCCTCATCACCGAGCGGAGGAATTTGCCCATGATGAAAATGGCCCAGTGAACGCGCCGTGGGCCCCGAGAAACTGGGGGGACCCTCTCCGCATCCTCTGCAGCAGCCCGAGGGAAACATGACCTATCAAGGGTCCAAGCAGCTGGTGGGGATGCAGTAGCTCGCCAGGGCTTGAGATATTTATGCAGCTCATGCTGCGCTGCGCTGTGGGGATCAGCACAAGGGCCTTCAGGGTCATGAACAACCGTGGGAAACGAAACGCCGCGAACCCTGGTGGCCCCGTGAAGGCCCCCAGCTCCCCCCGCGCTGGCAGTCTTGCACCAGTCGTTCCAGTTGGCCTGGACTTCTTTAGATTCGCCCACTCATCTATTTATTCGAGAAATGCGTTGACCTGCTCGCGCGCGAACCCATTGCACGGGAGCTTGCGCGCCTGACTAACCGAACTATCAAGGCGCGCGCTGAGCCCCAAACCTGGGTAATCCTGATCTCTGAAAGACATGGGGCTCAGCAAGCATGGCGTCGCGCATTTTGCCTGGCATCTCCTCCCAATCAGCAAGTCGCGCTAAATGCGCGTCTGCATTGTGGAGCCACTGCCGGCCATCTGCAATTCAGCTCCGCCCAGTCACATCGAGAAGGGATAGTCTACACTAAGCCAGCGCGGTGCAACCTGGCGCCCAACACCGCCGAGGTTGCCCTTATCATGTCCTGCGACCGCAACGATGTGACGAGCTGCAACCTACGCAAAGTGACCCTAGCCATTACTCAGGAGATGATGCGCAACCCCTGGATCAGTCTTCTCATCGCTCGCCATCTCCAAGCAACGTTCCACCAAACCGCTCGCGGGGCCCCAATCGGGTGGAGACGGCTGAGGGCCAAAGGGCGCCTCGACCCTCGCGCCTCCTGCCGCCAGGACCAGCGTCGCCAGCAGCAGCCGTCGGACTGACAGGGGCGCCGGGCGGCCAACCCTCGCGCCCCTCGCCGTGCTGAGGAGCGGCAGCGCTGTCAGCCGCAGCCGCCATCGGACTGACAGGGGCGGTGGGCTGCCAATCCTCGCGCCCCAGCCCGCCTCGTGGACCAGCAACGCCACCGACCTCGAAGGCGTGGAAGGAGATGTCGCGCCGAAGCGCGGGATCCCCCTGCACGCTAGTGCCGCGCAGGAGCTGGGCACGGTGCTGGTCGTCAGGAATGCCGCGCGCGCCTCGTGGCGTAGAGCTCCCCCAGCTGAGTGCCTCAGGCCCAGCAGCGCTGCCGGCAGCATCACTATCGTCAGCAACACCACTATCGCCTGGCGTACCTTCATCATCAGCGGAACCCATGTGTACGTCAGGCTCGCTCTCCTTGGGTACAACTCGCATGCATTCTCGGAACTTCGTCCACAACTCGCTGTCAAGGAACTTATCGGCCTCTGGGTAGGCTTGCTTGAAGCCCTCGACGTCGTGTACGTTGACAGAACCTGGAACAACATCATGAGCACCCGCATCGGTAGGTGCAGCACTTTCAGCTTCGGTCGACAACAGCTTCGCCAGTCGCTCGAACTCCTTCTGCAGTTCTTCAACCTGAGCCTATTTGGCCGCCAATCTCTGCTCACGCTCGGCGATGGACGCACGCGACTGCTCGAACTGCTTCTGCTTCTCCTCCAGATCTTTTGGCATTGATTCCACCGCCGCCTTCACCTTGCCAAGATCCTGCGCCGCACGGCGATGGGCAGTGGTGGACGGTGGCCGCATCTGCTTTTGCAGCTCACGCAACGCAGCCACCTGTGCCTCCATGCTGTCCCGGATCTCATTGACAACTCATATTTTCTGATCGCTGTGGGTGAACTCTCAAGCTCCTGAATATCATTTTAGCTCGTCGTCCCTCCTCAGACTCAGGATCCGCATCCTTTGCTGCCCCAGTGACAGTAACAACCTTGTCCTTAACCCATGGCGAAGGAGTCGGGCTCGTGGACGTAGTCGGCTTCGAGAGAGGGGTAAACGACGCATCCAACTTCTGCTCAAACGATGGAATATTGTTGGACGCCTGCTTCCCGCCATGCTCGTTGCCTCCAGCGGGCTTCTCATGACCTTTATCTTTCCCTTTGCGTTATCCGCTCTCCTGTCGCTGCAGCGCCAACTTGTGAGCATTGGGCGCCCTGCTTCGGATGTGTGCAGGCGCCTGTCGCCCGCACTCGCACCTGACCCTGCACGCCCAAGTGTGTGAGCGCGTGCACGAGCCGCGCGCCAATTCTGGCTTCCTGCGGCCCCAACAGGACATCCCGCTCCCCATCGGCGCTGGGAGGGGCCATCCGCGGGCCACCAGGCTGAGACACTGCTCCTCCAGGAGCTCGCGCGGAAGAGGCTCGCCCTCAGCAGCGCGCGGCTCGATAAAGGTGGCCTGAAAAAAGACACTGTTAGCTGGCCGCGGGCAAGCTGTACCCATGTTGTTTTTAGAGGAAAGTGAAGCCTTGAGCCAAACTGGCCACGGGGAGAGAAGGACGGTGAGCAAGAGGAGAGGGAGGAGGAGGAGGAGGAGGAGGAGGAGGAGGAGGAGGAGGAGGAGGAGGAGGAGGAGGAGGAGGAGGAGGAGGAGGAGGAGGAGGAACAACAGGAGAGGGAGACGAGGAGGAGAGGAGGAGGAGGAGGACGAAAAGGAGGAGGAGGAGGAGGAGGAGCAGGAGGACGGGCAGGAGAAGGAGAAAGGGGAAGGCGAGTAAGTGGAGGGAGGCGAGGAAGAGGAGAAAGGGGAGGAGGAGGAGGAGAAGGAGGAGAAAGAGTAAAAGGAGGATTAGGATGAGGAGGAGGAGGAGGAAGGAGGATGGGGGAGGAGAAGGAGGGGGAGACACAGGAAAGCGCAACACTTCATTGTCTGGTTGCGTCTCCTCCTGTGTGACCTTATCTTGATCATGCTCCATCGTCTCGCTGCTTCTGCCGAAATGCTTGTTTTTACACCCCGATGTCTTCCTGTTGCTTCTCCTTCTCAATACACTGCCTCCTGGCCTTTTGTACCTCTGTTCTGCGAGTCGGCCACGCACACGTCGCACGCCATAAACATACGCCGCGCAATATATTGCAGTGTTGCAATCGCACTATTTTCGGCACACATTATATCACCCTTGGTACCGAATGGTTGGGTACGTGTCAAGGCAATTATACACGCAACACGTATATGCGCAAATGCGCACGTAGGGAAACTAGAGAGAAAGCGATAACGGGATATGATTATATATGTATATGTACACATCTATATGCACGTACACATGCACACGCACATGCATGCACACATACGGGATGCATGCAACGAGAAATGTATACACGCATACGTACGTGTACATGCATACACATACATATATATACAAATATGCACATCTAGAGATGTATGTACACAGGAAAAGAGGTGGGTAGAGAGAGAGAGAGAGACAAAACAAACAAACAGAGAGAGAGAGAGAGAGAGACAGAAAAGAGAGAGAGAGAGAGAGAGAGAGAGAAAAGAGGACGCAACGCAGACAGATCAAGACAAGAGGTGTCCGACTCCGGAAGCCCTGGACACAGAAACGTCGACGGCTGGCCTGAACTTCCGCCGCCCTCCACCTGCCACCGTCCGACTCCCACTGGCTCCTGCCGGTGGCCACGAGGCTCCGACGCCGAGGCCCTGCCTGGAGCGCTCCCGGCGGAGGAGTGGTGGCAGCCGGGTGGAGGAGAGGGGGGCGGGGCTGGGGCCCACCGCGACGGCACCGCTCTGCGGTGACCGCCCTGCCTCCTCGAGACGAGCCCCCGGCACCCGTCGGGGTCAAGGGGGGAGGAGGGGCGGCGAGGGCCGAGGTGGAGGGCCTTCCTTTCTCCGCGAGGGGCCGCCGCTCTATCCTCCCGAGGCCTGTCGGCGAGCGGCAGGCTGAACATCACGGCTCCCCACGAGCAGGAGCGGCGAGGCCGCGGAGGTAAGAGGGGGGGAGGAGATGCCCAAAGGAGGAGCACGCGCGTGTGCACACCAGCTGGGTTGCACCCGCAATGCTCGCATTTTTCCCTCAAAGGCAGAAGCATAGAAACAACAATCGAGAAGAGGAAAGAGGGAGACTGATGGAAGGAGAAGGGGAGGGAAGAGGGAGGAGGATGTCAACGTCAGGAGCGTGGCTTGAGGATCGTGGAGAGTCAAAATAAAACATGGCCGCGCTGCGCATGGTTAGTCGCTCTTCTCATCGCGGGAAGCTGTCGGATCTCTTTTTAAGTCCTCATCCATGGCCACAGCATGAAGCTCGGACAGCGTGCCAAGCTTGATGCCGTTAGCGGCGATCAAGGGGAGCGCCTTTGACAACGTCGCTGGCGTGTGCCAGCGGTCGTGCAGCACAACCACGCACCCTGGTCGGACGCGCCACTTCAGGTACAGCCAGTTGACGAAGCGCGACACCGAAGCTATGTCATGAGGGAAACAATTGGATATCACAGTTGTGTAGCCCTTGCTGCGCGCCATATCCAACATATGCCCCGACCACAGCGCCGACGCGGGCCGGAACCAGCGCCGCGGCCGCCCTCTCCAGGACTCCTCGCCGCCCGCGAGGTCGGCCAGGAGCCGGTCGCAGTGCAGGAAGTCGCGGTCGAACTCGGCCGCGTCCATGGCGAAGGCGGGCCGGTCGAACTTGAGGTGGTTGCCGAGCTCGTGTCCCTCCGCGACGGCCCGCCGCATCAGCTCCCGCAGTTGCTCCCGCAGCTTCGGGTCGCTGGGGCCGCCCTCGCCGGGCTCGGCGTCGAAGCCCGACATGACCAGGAGGGTGGCGCGCACGCCGTTGTCGCGAAGCACGTCCAGCAGTTGCTCGAGGTGCGACGGCGAGTCCTAAGACGAAGCCAGGACGAGGATAACATCGGGTGAGGAAACATCGAGAATCTCTGAGATCTGGCGGCTCTGGAGAATGCCTCAAGCGCCGCGGCATTCCCAGAGCGTTCCAGACCGCTCTGAGAGCGTTCCGGAACGCTCTGGAATGCGTTCATCCTCGTCCTAGCCCCGTCCGAAGTCCAGCAATGGCACGTCGTCCAGCGTCAGTGCTGCACGCCGCTCCGCGACCGGGATGCGCCACACCACCCCGGGCTCCGCCTTCTCGAAGTGCACGACGGCCCAGTCGGGCAGGAAATAGGCCACGACGGCGACCAGCACGGAGAGGACCACCAGCACGAGAGACAGCACGGAGTCGTCCACGCGGCTCTCGGTGTACCACACCCCGGCCGTCAGCACAGCTGCGGCGCCCACGGATGAGATCACGTGCGAAGAGGTGCTGGCCTTCCTGGCCAGCGCCTTGGTCGTCCTCATCGGCCGGAGGCGGGCGCGCGAAAGCAGCGCCTCCTCTGGCCCGTGCCTGCCCCGAGCCAGTGCGGCTGCGGAGGGAAGAGGGCGCAGGACCGGGGGGCGGGGAAGCGCGGGAGAGGAGCAGCGGCGTGGGGTCCGAGTGGATGGCGGATTCCGATTCCTGCCCCCGACGCCCATCGAGTTGCCTGAACCGTTGGTCGGCGAGGGCAGGGTTCGGGTTTCGCCGCCGCCCGCGCCACAACATCTCGCGGGCAATACATTGGACACGGCACCGACACCACATCGCGCCACGTAAACTACGGATCCGAGACACGGCGCCTATAGAGCACACGGAGCCAAATAACGCTACGCGACACCACGCGGACGAGGGATCCGAGACATTGCGCCATGCCGTCACGCGGCACTCAACGAAACGTGCAAAGAACACGGCATACATCTAAACATTCACGCAATAATGGTTACGCAGCCAGGCCGTACCGTCTGGATTGGTTAGCACCCGTAAGAGACACTCGAATCCCGCCGTTCGTACTCTGCGCGGGAGGACCATAGCACTTTCACTACGGTTGAGGGGAACCTGTCAAAAGCCTTGAGAGCTCCGTTGTAAGCTCTCTCATACATGTATGGCCAGACGGTGGCGCAGATAGCCGTCTAAGTCGCACCCGAGCCGAACTCACGCGAACAACTGCCACCGCTTGGCCGTGCACCTAGCTGCTTAGCTACAGTGGCGACAGACCCAGCCTCAAACCGCGCCTGCTATCGAACCCAGCTGGGCTGCGCCACCATCTGGCCAGCCCAAGTAGCATCAACATCATGCCCGAATCATCCACAAATCAGCCCGCGCCACTATCCGATGATGGAGCCAAGCGGTGGCTCAACCTACCCTCCAAGTCGTGCCCGAGTTGAGCTGCACTGCTCCGCAGGCTCTGCGAATACAACAAAACTGTCTGCAATAGCTTGCTCCCGAACCGGCTAGAGCCACCGAGCGAGGCCGCGACCCGCTGAACGCCGAAGTGGGTCGTGTCAGTCGATGTGTGTCAGCTGAGACGCCGCAACGCGCCCGTGGCGTCACAACGCATGACAACTGCCCGCGACGCCAATAAACCTCCTGCGCGGAGGAGGCGGCAACGAATGCCGATCGACAGAAGCGGAGGCTACGGCCACGAATCTGCTGGGCCACCAGGGATCACAGAGCCACTGGCGACGAGTGAGCTTCCAATCGATTGTTGACCCAGAGAGGCGCGGGTGCTCGGGGCCACAGGTGCGGGAAACGTCTGGCTCCTCGAGTCGGACGTCCGACGGCCCAGTGCCGCGGCGCCGCGGCGTCTGGGTCGTCAGCCCGGCGGTGCCGGCAGGCCATCTCTGACAACAAGCACCACCTTGCGACAGCGAGTCACCCTGAGATCCTAGCGTTGAATTCTTTCATACAGAAAACGATTTTGCCTCGTTCCCGGCACGGGGACCCTCACGGATCGATCCGGCGTGAAAAATGACGCAGACAAATGGGGTCCTGGGCTCGGGCCAATTTGTTGCACGATGTTGTCACTGTTTTGTTGTGCGATGTTGTTTTTGTTTTCCGTGACGTCGGATCTCAAGGTGCCGATGAACTGGAACACACAAATGGCTGGATTCACGCGTGGAGCATCCGGAAGCTACGCGCCAAATGCACGTGCGCAAGCCTGGCCTTCACGGCCATAGGAGACCAAGGCCGCTGGAAAGACACCTGGCTACACGTGTATCCAACTCTCGCCTAGGCTGACCGCGTCATATGTCCAGCTTCCTGGTTATGGAGACAACACGGCGGACACACGATCAATGGTGCAGCGGTCTCGCCTCCCCGGTCTCAATGTGGGGGGCGTCTCCGAGCGAATCCTGAGAATCGCCCGACCCAGACAGCACCAAGCGCTTTGCTGATGCTGCTCTCGAGGGGGAGACCGCTCAGGAACATGATCCAGGCGCGGATAACCGCGCGGAGTTCCATTCTGGTAGTGGGTGTTCGCGAGCGGTCTGGACCCTCGATGGTGCACCCGCGCTGGAGCACCGCACCCGTCCCCCGCGAGCTGGGCAGGGCGGCCCCTGGAGGTCCTTCTTGACATCGAAAGGGAAGTAGATGAAATCCACCAGCCCGTGCAATCCGCGGCATGACCTCAGAGGCCCCCCCACCTCCCACCCCCCCGCCTTCCAGCGGATCCGAGCCTGGACCGCCAGAGGTTCGTAGACATCGGGCCTGTGCTTCCTGGTCGTTTTCGACCTCTGGAGGCCAACTCTGGGCCCTGGGACCGTAAGAGAACGACTGAAGAGGCCCATGGCCTGGTCAAGCACTGGGCCCACTGCCCATGGCCCCGGGACTGTAAGAGAACGACTGGGAAGCCTGGGCCAGCACCCGGTCAAGCCAGCCTAATCCATCGCAAGGTAGACTGCCACGAGCAATCGATCGATCGATCTGATCAATGCGCTACCCCGATACCAGACCTCCGATGTCGTTCGCTGGCAGGGGGTGTCCAGCAGAACCTTGCAGTCCCGAAAATTGTGGGTTTTGTTTCCAGGAGCACCCAGCAAGAAAATGCTCGACCAAACTCGCGAACATTGAGCACAAATGCGTGATGACGATCGCACTCCCACGCCCTGGGGACCCTGCAGAAACGGAGAAGTACGACGGCCGCATTTTCCCCGGTGCAAGCCCCCCAGAGCACTCGACCCCATCCTATGGGGGAAACGGGTCCTGAGGGAAACGGGTCCTGGACCCTGGGGCCTTCCCGCAGGACAAGATCTTCATCCTGAGCCGTTTTCTGACCGTCCCCGGGCCCGTGGAAGGCCCGGGGAGCCCGAGAACGGCAGAAAACCTTCGCAGGCGATTTCTCTCCCCCAATCCCCGACTTCCGCCAGAAAAGTTTGGTCGCTCAGAAAAGGGGAGGAATCTTGGGATACATCCCGAGGGGGCTATTCGGACGCACCCCTGTCGAGGATGGACGCCCCCCCCTCGTATATCCCAGGGTTGGGCCCCAAATTGTTGATCCTCTCGAAAACCTCACGGAGCCTGGGATAGGGGTCGACGCATCCCCTAACCTCAGGACCCGCTTTCCCTCAGGACCCGTTTTCCCCATGGCGAGCTCTGCCTCCAAAGGCGGCGCGGAGGGCGGGTCCCGCGACGGGGGAAGGGCGCCGGCGTTCTCTGCGAGGGCCGCGGGGGGCAGCGGCGCGGACGGGGGCTCGATAGGGGGGTTCGGCGGTGCCTGGTCTGGCGGCTGCTGGCGGGGCCAGGGCGCGTGGCACGCCGCTGGTGGGTGGCAGTGGCCCCAGACCCCTCGAGCCGTGAAGAAATCGCGACGGGAGGTTTTTCCGTATTTTCGGCCCTAGGGCTCCCAATTTCGCGCTTCGCGCTGCGCGAAGCGCGAAGCGCGAATAACTTCGCGCTCTCGCGCCGCTCTCCCAAAGGGAGAATAGGAGGACGAGGAGGAGGGGGAGAAGGAACGAGGACCGCGAAGCGCGAAGCGCGAATAACTTCGCGCCCTCGGGGGAGCCCTTGGGCCTCTGGGGGCCCTGACCCAGGGGATGGGCCGAGGCCTCTGGGGGGCCGACGCTCTCACAATCAATGACGTCGGGGGTCTGGGGTGGCAGGGCCTCGACGAGGCCGAACTCGACGAGATCCGCCAGCGGTGAGTCGGAGGGACCCGCAGGAGGCCTCCGAAGGTCCGTGGCGGTCCCCTGCGAGAGCCTCCAGATGCTCTCGCGGAGGCTTCTGCAGGTCACCAGAAGTACATAAGAACAAACCCGTTGGAGATCCAGATGGATCGCCCAGCCGTCCGATGGCGATCGATCGGCCGAGGTTTGTCGAGCCTGGGTCGACGGGTCGGGGTTCTGTACTCTGCGGCCCCGACAGCTCCGCGAGGAACTTCAGCTGAGTGTAGTGCCTTCAGAGAGGGATCCAGCAGGAGCATGAGTGAGGAGCGAGGATCGACGTTCAAGGATCGAGAGGATGATGAGGAGGGCGGAGGGGAGAGGAGGAACAGGGCATGCGAACGAGGAAGCGGAGAAAGACCGCGGGTGCGAATCGAGGAACGCGGATCGAGATTCTCGCAAGTTATGTCCGTTCTTGGACCTCCAGAGGCCTGCTGCAGAGGCCCCTGCGGGGTCTCCCGAGATCTCAGGAGGCCTCCAGGGCCTTCGGAAACCCGCAGAAACCTCAAGTGGAGAGGGGGCGGATCAGAACATCATGTGGCCCGTGTCAGAAAACCTGAGCCCAATGGCACAACCTGTTGGGGTGATCTTTACGTTCGCCGGCTGACCCGCGTCCATTTTACTTGTATGTTATTTCCGCCGCCTTCTGCCGAGAAAGAAGTGATCACCCGCTCCCTCGCATGCGAGGCCACTTCTGGAACGCCTCATATGATGCAGTGCCTGTATGATGGCACTGGGGCGAACGCCCAGGCCAGGACGAATCTGGGCTTTCGACAACAATTGAGGGCCCCAAAAACTCCCCCCGCGCGAAAGCGGGAGCTCGACCGAGACCTTCGCCGAACGAACGAGCGGGTCCGGTGCGGGATTGATAAAGGCCTCCCACATGGGGTCCGAGTCGATGGGGTCGGAGGATCGCGACGCATCGCCGATGCATCGGCGATGTCGGCGTGGAGAAAACTGAGCTCCACGTCGAATTGCATCGCCGATGGATCTGGAAGGCCTAGGGTCGAGGGGGGAACGAGGAAGAGAAAGGAAGAGGACAAGGTGAGACTGTGAGGAGTTATTTATCAGGACAAGGGATGGAGGATGAGGAGGCCATGGGGAGGAGGAGGAGGAGGAAGAGGAGGAGGAGGGGGAGGAGGAGGAGGAGGAGGAGGAAAAGAAGGAAGAGGACGAGGAGGAGGAAGAGGAGGAGGAGGACACGGAGAATGCCCAGCGCCCACCGCGAGCGGAAACACATGTTTTTCATGCCGGCAGCGTTCGGGATGGGCGGTAAGGGAGCACAGGGATTCTGGTAATCTCCAGGGCCCCAGCTCTGCCCATCTCCCCCCAAAACGACGACCACATCATCCTCCATATGGTGAAACTCGGCAGGTATTTCGGCCAAGCACCGCGTGTGCACACACGCACACTCACGACACGAGCAGGCAGGGTTTCTGCCGATTGGGTTATGAGGTCTGGGATGGTGTGCGTTCGACTTTGCGGTTCTCATTCCTTCTGGTCATTTGTCATCGTATTCGTGGACGTTGTTCCTTCCAACGGCGCAAACAAACGCGACGCTGGGTTGGTGAAGCGTAGAGGACCCTCGGGGCGTACGAACCGCTGCCATGGAATGGGATGGGATACCGATGATGCAGACCGTGCGATCCTATGCGCGCCATCGCGCCATGACGGCGGCTCCCATCGGGGCACCAACGGGACACAATGACCATCAATTGACATGTAGCGTGGGGCACCACGGTCTTGTCTTGCACCTCGAGGGAGCCTGCAGCTGCTGAGAGCAGTCCCATGTGCTCTGGATATGAAACTGGCGCTTCAGGCATGCGCACACGAAGCTCTTGGTAACATTTGAAAAAGAGGGCCGGCAGCCAGAGCGTGCGCTCCCTGGAGGCCTCCTCGGAATAGTCAGTCTCCTCTCCAAGGTCGAGTAGGAGGATGACGGAGGCGGGGAGGACAGAGCGAGGCAAGGCGGCGAGGTGGAGCAGGCGAGAGCAGGAGAGGTAGTGGGCGATCGCATCAGGGCCGCCCTCGCATCCAAAGACGCATCCTCGCTGGCCAAGGATGTGCATCCGGGGGGGGGGTGATCCATTCTCCCGCGAGCGTCTTCATTGCCGACCAGACAGTGGCGGGGCGAGTCTTCGCCACGGCCCCCTTCCATGCCTGCCAGCGGGGGGCGAGGGTGGGGCCTGGAGCTCCGGATGCCAGGAGAGCGCTGGCTTCTGCAACGCAAGGTGCAGCTGGTCTGGATAAAGGTCGCGGGCCAGAAACCGAGCGCACGTCCCCCGGGGCCGCGGTTTCTTATGGGGCTCAGCGGCCAAACGGGCTGCGCGCAGGGCCTCTGTCGCAACGGTTCGCTGCAGGGCAGCGTCGACCTTCGGGGGCGCAAGGGAGCGGTCGCGGTCGCGGAGGAGCTGAACGATGGCCTGCGGGCCGCGCCACCAAGGCGGGGGCCAGGAGTCCAGTGCAGGGCGCGCGAGTGTTGTGGCGCCACGAGCACTATTCGAGCTCCGCGCGCCATGAGACACGCCGGGGGACAGTGCTCTGCGCCGTGCGCCAGCTTGTCGCCGCAGTGGAGGTCGGGGTATGGCCAGGCGCCCGGCCTTGAATGGGACCAGAGAGATCGTGGCCTGTGCGCGAATTGGGAGGTAACCTGAGCAGCTTGCGAATGCACTGGGGCCTGTCTTGCAGGAGCAGCTTCGGCGGCGGATAAAACTGAGCGACGCGGCCTAGGGGGAATCGCGAATCCGCGCCAGCGGAGGGAGGAGTCGGGGGGGAGGCTTTAGAGGCAGATGTCTTCAGGATTCGCTCCCACCGTTTCTGCGAGCAGGCCCACCCGCTGGAGAGGCCATTCGTGGCCGCTGAGCCAATGTGCACCCCTGGATACTTTGTCTCCCCCGCCACGGGAAATTTCTGCCACTGCGGGGGCATCTGGCGCAGGGCGGAGCGGATGTCTGCAAGTATATATTTTGCGCATTCTGTCCGAAGCGGAACGAGAATGCCTGCGCGAGGGCGGGGGCGGAGAGAGGCGAAGCTCGAGGCGGGGGCAGATGGTGGGGCGAGGCGGGCGATGTACGTGAGCTTCGCCAGGGGCCGCCTTTGTCGTCGGCGCAACCATCTAGGGAAGCGTCGCGCGGGTCTGTCGGGCGCGCTCGCTCTAGAGAGCGGATGATGGGGCCCCATGCCGAAGCCCGCGCGCTGCCGCTGAGGGGGCAGCCTTGCCTGGCCCTTGAGTTGGAGAGGGGACTCATAGGGCGATCTCCTCGCCCATGCGCGTGTAGGCGAGAGCAGAGGAGCATGGGCTCGCGATCGCTGCGGGGCACACTGGCGGCGGCCCCATCTGCTCAAGAACCGCGAGCAGCCGCGTGCGGTTCATGCCCGGGAAGGCGGCTCTGATGTCGAAAGCTAGAGAGATATCTTGCGGTCTGCGTCTTCATGTAAGCCCGCAGCCCTCGCGCGGATATCGGGCTTGGCTATGTCCTGGCAGGAGCTCCCTGCGAGCATGTAGCCCCGCCGAGTCCCGCGCGCTCGCTCAGCCACTAACTCTGTTAGCGGGCAATCGCTGCGGCGAAGGCCTTGGGGCGCAGTTGTTCGGCGACAGCGGGCGCGCCTCTGATGCGTCTCGCAAGCAGTCGATGGCATCGCCGACTTTGTCACCTGTCGGAGAAACAACTATCCAGGCGAAGGACCCAACCGTATGCAGTTGTGGGTACCGCAATTGTGAATATCTTCTTCGGTGAAGCACCCTATGGGGCCACGAAGCGCTGCACTGGGTGGGGGGGAACGCATTCGGGCGGTAGCACTGGGGCCGTCGGTGGAGCTCCCTATGGGGCCGCGAAACGCTGCATTGGGTGGGTGAAAATGCCAAATTGAGCTTCTGGGACGCATTCGGACGGTCCCACTGGGGCCGTCGGTGGAGCTCCCTATGGGGCCGCGAAGCGCTGCACTGGGTGGGTGAAAATGCCAAATTGGGCTTCTGGGACGCATGCGGACGGTCCCACTGGGGGCTTCGGTCGAGCTCCCTGTGGGGCCGCGAAACGCTGCACTGGGTGGGTGAAAATGCCAAATTAGGCTTCTGGGACGCATGCGGACGGTCCCACTGGGGGCTTCGGTGGAGCTCCCTATGAAAAATGCCAAATTGGGCTTCCGGGGCGCATGCAGACGGTTCCACTGGGGGCTTCGGTGGAGCTCCTAATGGGGCCACGAAACGCTATACTGGGTGGGTGAAAATGCCAAATTGGGTGTGCGGGACGCATGCGGACGGTCCCACTGGGGGATTCGGTGGAGCTTCCTATGGGGCCACGACACGCTGTACTGGGTGGGTGAAACTGCCAAATTGGGTGTGTGGGACGCATGTGGGCCCCTGGCCCGTTCGCCCCCATCGTCGCCTCCGATGGACTGGCGCCGAGACGAGGATGGACCAGCCAGTATCGAACCAAGAAGTCGGATCGGATCGGCGTGTGAGTGGGATCGGGCTGCATCGGCACAGAGTTTGGATCGATTCGGATCGGCTGTGCCAGGATGCATGCCAGCGCCGTGCGAGCATAGGGCCTCGTCGGATCGCAGGAATATCATAATCGAATCGGATCGGGCCGGTCAGATTGATATCGAGTCGGATCGATCGTGGCCGAGTGGGACCTGCGTGCCGGTCGCAAGGACGGGGGCGTGTTTCAGGCTGGCTGTCGAAGGCCAGGCGGACAGGCAGCGGCGTACCCCGGGCCCAAAAGGTCTCCAGAGGTCGCCGGAGGCACTCGAAGCTCCCCAAAGGGCCAGAAACGCCCCAAAGACGCCCAAGAACCGTCCCAAAAGCCTGGGTCCGCGATCAGCCAGACTGCACAGACCCCCGACGCCGTGATTTCTCTTGCGTCGTGATCCTTTCGCAGCGTGGCTCCCTGGAGGCGGGAGGCCTGCATCGCTTCCTCGAAAACTGTGTTCCATCCTGAAATAGTTTTCTGGCGGGAGGCTCCCCAGACGCCGAAACTGATCCAACATTTTCCTTGGTGCTTTGTTTCGATTACGAGACGCGAGGGGGTCTGGGCTCGGCGGACAAACATTTGCACCCCAACCTCTCGTAGAATCGCTTTGACCAAAAACCCGAGCGGAATTCAACCGTGGCGACGATCGTTGCGGAGGCCACAAAAGATCGGAACAAACACCAACACACCGAACCTCGACTCCCTCATTCTCGGACATCCGATTCATGGCTTCTGCTTGGGATGCTGGGCCCTTGGACGCCCCGACCCCTTCCGAGCCGTCTGTGCCGGTCCTGGGGTCTGGCGATGGCCCCCAGATGCAGATCGTGGTGAACCTGTTACTGTCAGTACGTCGAAGGCCTGGGCCTGTCGGCGGCGAGCCCGGGGAAGGGGAAGGGGCGGGCCTTCTCAGAAAGCTCGGGAGGCCTCGGGCCTTCTGAGAAGTGTTCTGGGCCGTGCCCGAGGACGCAGAGCACTTCTCAGCAGGCGCGGTGGGTTTTGAGAATCCCGCCGCCTTCCGAGAAGGCCTCCTCCTTCTCACTTCCCCCCTCGCTCGCCGCCGAGTCTGGGCAGGCCGACAGCGTCGCTCTGAGCGCCGCCCTCTGGGCCGCCGGGGGATCTGGCGGATCATGACGGTGAACACGGCGTCCTCCGAGGCCACGCTGGCCTCGCGCGGCGCGCGCGCGCGCGGCTCGCGGAGGCCGTTTCTGTCGGGCGCGCATCGGGCTTTTGAGGGCCTCTGGGAAGCTCCTCGTCGCCACGCTTCGACCCCTTCGAAAGTCAGGTCAGAAACAATTTCCAGGACATGTTTCTGGTCCAAGGACGATGCTAGATCCTGAGCCCATCCGGCAGATTTTGCGTTTTTGCTCCTGGCGTCCTTCTTCTTACGTGTCGTCCTCTGGCGATCGTTTCGGGCCCGGGGCCAGGAAACATTGCCCGGGATGAAAGCTTTCCTCAGGGAAGGGGTCGGGAACTCTGGGCCGCAGATTATCGGCCGACCCAGCCGGCGTGTGTGAGAGGCCCTTCGACGCGAGGCCAGCCCAACCCAAACTGAAGTACGCCAGCCTCCTTTGAATCGTCGTCGTCGTATGGGATATCGAACAAACAAGGGGGATCGAACAATGCGGTAATTATGTCGAAGCGAAGTTTCTTCCGTTTGTCCTTTCACCGCGGCGGGGCGGGGGGTCCCGTTGGGGGGGTCCCGCGGGGGGTGGTCCGGGGGGGAGGGTCCGGGGGGGTTTGCCTGAAGGGGGGCACAGGGGTTCTGACCCTTCCGCGCTGGTGACTTTCCCCATCTGTTTTCGCCTCAAGTGCGCCAGCCTCCTTTGAAGCGACGTCGACGTAAAGGAGATCGAACAAACAAGGGGGGATCGGTCAATGTCGTGATTACGTCGAAGGAAAGCTTTTTCCTTGTGCCCGTTCCCCGCCAGGGATTGGAGGGGTTCCAGGGGGCGTTTCTGGGGGGTCCCAGGGGGGGCGCCCAGGGGTTGTGACACCTTCCCTGTTGGAAGCTTTGCCCTTCGGCTTTCGCCTCCCACACGCCCGCCCCCGAGGAAACTGACGGCTTTCCCTTTTCTCCTCCTCCTCCTCCTCCTCCTCCTCCTCCTCCTCCCCCTCCCCCTCTGTTCCTCCTCCTCCTCGTCCTCTTTCTCCTCTACCTCCTCTTCGCCATTCTCCTCCTCGTCTGTCTCCTCATCCTCGTCGTCCTCCTCCTCCTCCCCTTCCTCCTCTTCCTCCTCGTCCTCCTCCTCCTTCTTCTCCTCCTTCTACTTTGGGCCAACGCGAAAACAAGCCGGCTGCGCATGTGAAACATACTCAGTTGCAGAACCGGCCCTGGCATTGCAGCAGCGCGCGACGGCGAAAAACAATAACTGCAGGACAGTTGGGAGCAGCAGAGAAACAAGAGCACGTTGCTGCGCCTGGGTGTGGCAAAAACGATATCCCCCCCAATCCTCCCATAAAGCATAATATCCCCCCTTCCGCCCCTGAGACGGCGCGCCGAAGTGCCAGGCTGGCCATGCTCGTATGGCTGGCCTAAGTGGCGATGTGAACACGCGGTTTTCTGTCGCGGGGGGCTGGCTCGGGCGGCGCCAGCTGGCCTGAGGCAGAAGCGTGGTGTAAACGATCCTCGTCTTCCTCCACCTCCTTATATCATAGAAACTCCCCCGCCGCCTCCTCTAAATGCGACGGCGTGCCGAAGTGCCAGGATGGCCATAATCGTCTGGCTGGCCTAAGTGGCGACGTGAACGCGCGGTTTTCTGTCGCGGGAGGCTGCCTCGGGCGGCGCCGGCTGGCCTGAGGCAGAAGCGTGCTGTCAACGATCCTCGCCATCCTTCATCGCCTTATTTGTATCTACTAACTTCTCCACCACCTCCGCCACCACGCAAAGCGTACCACTCAAGTGACAAAGTACGATATGAACAACGGACATCATGTGCGAAAGGTAATCAACTGTGTGAGCTGCGGCAGAATGGGAGTCCAGCGTTCGCGGCTTAACCTTGGAGCGGGCTCTCCTCGGCATCAATGTCAAAATCATGAGTGCAACGTGATTGCCCTCGCCGGGGGGGAGCAGTGACGGCGCCGGCAACGTTTATCCTCCTCCACGCAACGATCCCCCCGCCCCCACCGCGCACTGCGTATGCAGCGCATGCGACATAATGGTAGATGATGAAGGGCGTGCGTACTGCAACCACTCAGTGCGCGCGCGTCCAGGTGTGCCGCGTGAGGACGAACGGGCAACAGCAAACGACATAAGCGAATCATCGAAATAAGATACGACCAGCAACATATGATTGTGAACGTGGAACATGGAATATTTACAAAAAGTCATGGCGCTCCGCATTGCATCAACATGTGCCTCGTTAGTACAGACGTCCAACAGCAACTGCTCGATATCTCCCGCAGCGTTGCCCCGTTCCCAAGCGTGGCAAAACATTTTCCCGATGTACAGTAAGGCGGGCGTTCGTAATTGAACTGGGTGGCAGCATTTTTGAAGTCGTCCAGTCCAGCAACGTCGATATTGCCCTGTTGATGAGCTCGATATTGTCGCACCGTGCACAAACTGCAGTGGTTTTTTGACGATCGCCTGTCATCGCCCTGTTAACGGATCCAAATTGCCACGCTTGCCCTCCGCCCCGTCGAGGGTCTTCTGATGCTGGAGGCGCACCGAGCGCACTGGGTTCCCGAAGTTGAAGGCAGTGGCACTTCTATTTCATCATCTTTCGACAAGGTGTCATCTGCGCGTTTCGGCGATCTTCTGACCCGGGTCAATCCAGACCCGGGTCAGCAGGAAACCAAAAACTGCAATGCAGGAAAAACAAACTGCAGCGCAGATCTTCGCAAACCCGGGTCAGCCAATATGTGCGGCCGCCTCGCGGCCACGAGCGGCTCCCAAACCCGGGTCAGCCAGAGGGGGTCTTCGCAGGATCCTGCAGGATCTGGCGCTCTGGCTGACCCCTGTTTGCATTGAACCCCGTCTCAAGGCTCCCGAGCGTTCACAATCTTCGGGAACCGGTGCCTGGCAATTCCCACGTGCGACATTCTTGGAGCGCCGCCCGCAGTTCTGCACTGCCACGTCGTCTCGCACCCGCACTCCTCGTCGACAGTATTTCCTACAGCGCAAGGCGCCAATCCACTGCGCGCGCATGAGATTCCCCAAAGCATTCTCGACTGAAGCTTTGTCTTTGGATTCAATATCTGACGCAGAATCATTCGGTGGCGGCGGCTGCTCCACTAACGCAAAGTGCGGCGGAAGCGTAGACGGTGGAGGTGGCACCAGACAAAGTGGTGGCAAACTAGACTTGCATGGTGGTGGTGGCAGAAGGGACCTTGTCTGCAAATCCTGGCCGCGAGGGATGAACGTGGCCTGAATACCTCGATCCTATAACAGGGATGGAGCCAGTCGCACTCATGTTCCATTGCCTAAAGTTGTTTTGCTAATGCTGCGTGCCGACGTGTTGTGGCGAATCCTGAGAAGTATACCACCAAACTGTAATGTTGTCTGCCCACTTGAGAGGAATATAGCGCGTACGAGCTAGATACCCAATCCTGCGAATTGCTTGTGTGGCAGCTGCGCGAGAGCAACATGAAACCTGATAACGATGAACCATGCCTGAATGGGACAGGGCAAGGCCTCGACAGTGTCGGAGAGTCTCGTTCAGTACGCAGCTGGCCCACCTGAGGGCGTGCGCGCATGGGTCCAGACCCGCTTGGTCCAAACCTTCCTCCTCCTCCTCCTCCTCCCCTTTTCCTCCTCCTCCTCCTCCTCCTCCTCCTCCTCCTCCTCCTCCTCCTCCTCCTCCTCCTCCTCCTCCCCCTCCCCCTCCTTCTCCCCCTCCTCCTCCCCCTCCCCCTCCTCCCCCTCTGCATCCTCCTCCGCTTCCTCCTCCTCCTCCTAATCCTCCTCCCCCTCCTTCTCCTGCTCCTCATCCTCCCTCCAACGCCCGCCCCTTCCCCCGAGCCTGTGGCAGGGTCATTAGCTCGTCGTTGTCGTTGTCGTCGTGGTGGTCGTCGTCGTCGTCCTTCTGGGTCGGCGGCACCGGCCGTAAGGCCTTCACAATCACACACGTCTGCTGCTGCTGCTGCTAGACATCCGGAGGCTTCAACAAATCGAGCTGGGGACCGGTTTCGGCGGGACCGTCAGACGAAGGCTGTGGGATTCAAGGGCGGGTCGGAGCACCCTGGTACATCACGGCACTTTCGCGCTCACGAGGTCACCCCTCGCAGATTTCAAGGCACTCGCGCTCCCGAGGCCGGGATCCTTTTCGGATTACATTGCTATCGGGCTCCCGATAATCGGTACTACAGCCCTTTGTAAATAAGTTCACATTCACGCTCCCGAAACGTTAACCCATATACATTGCGACGCAGTCGCGCTTCCGAGACCACGATCCCTTACAAATTACAACGCGTTCGGCACCCGAGGCAACAATCCTTCTGTAAATTGCAACGCGCGCGCGACCCCGAGGCCACACTCATATGTAAAATACGTCGCATTCGCGCTCCCGACGCCACCCCCTCGGACATTACGTCGCGCTCACGCTCCCGACGACACACCCTTTCTTAAACTACGTCACGCTCGCGCGCCCGAAGCCATAATCCCATGAACGTTGCGTCTCAATAACTCTCCCGAGGCTTACGACAAGTTTGCCTCTCGAGGCGACAGATTCGCACACCCGAAAACCGACAAGTAACCCCAACGCGTTCCCACGCTGGCTCCGCTTTGAGGAGCCGGCGGCAGAGGGCGAAGCCCTTTAGCCACGTTCGTAACCCGCTCATGTTATTTGCACGCGACCGTGATGTCACATCGCAGGCGGAGGACAAAGTGTGTGTGTGGGGGGGGATCTTTCCAGAACGCCCAGCGCAAGCAGCAAGCAGCGGTCCCCGAAGACGCCCCTCCCCCTGAGGCCCTCGGAGGCCGTCGCGACCTCCTCCCCTGCTCCCTCCGACGGAGGGCAGAGCGGGGCCTCTGGAAATCCTGCGGGTGAACGGCACAGCCGAAACACGGCCACACGAGCGTGAATCAAGAAGAGGGGCCTCTTCGCCGAGGGGCCAAGGCCTCATGTATCTATCTATCTATCTATCTACCTATCTATCTATCTATCTATCTATCTATCTATCTATCTATCTATCTATATAGATATATACACCCAAAAAACACTAGCGAATAGCGTGCCACGGTGGCAAGCCCGAACATGAAGACCATAAGGGTGCCCCTCGAGTTGCCGGCTGTAGGGGGGGGGGGGGACTGCCTCAGGGGGGGGGGAACATTGAATTGGAATCGGATACATCACCGATAGATCGGCGACAGTCCCCCGAGGGCGAATCTGTACGCTCCTGGGCGGGGTGGGCTGTCTGGTCTCTGTCGGCGATCAGTGGACGACTGGGGGTCGATGCGTACCCCCCCTGAGCCCATCTCAGGACCGCTTGGACCAGGACATCGCTAACCAGGGCCTTGGAGACATACATAATGGAGGATGCTTCGACACACAGCTGCAATTTTCTCGGGCGCTCCACTGGTTTATCAAAAAGTCTCTGTTTAGAGGGGGCCCAGATCATACCCCCGAAATGTTGCCATGAAGTCCAGACCCTCTCCCCTGCAACGGAAGAAGACGAATTCGGCATTCGATGCCCTCCCGGAGAAGCCGGCCTCCAGATGGGGATAGGGAATGACACCTGTGCCCAATGTTGCCTCTCCAAACCTCTCGCGGCCGGAGCCAGTGATGCTCCACCTCAGCCCCCCCAGCCAGCTCCAAGCCGATGTCGCAGCCCAGAGGGGCAGGGAACGAAACCTGTGCACCGTGGTGGCTCTCCACTCTTCAGCGGCTGGGGCCAGAGATGCTCCACCTCAGCCCCCCGGCGGGCTCCAAGTCCAGAGCCTCTCCCTCCTCCTCCTCCTCCTCCTCCTCCTCCTCCTCCTCCTCCTCCTCCTCCTCCTCCTCCTCCTCCTCCTCCTCCTCCTCCTCCCCCCCCTCCTCCCCCTTCTCCGCTTCGGGAGCGACGTGCCTCCTGCCCGGCGTGCTTCTGCTCCTCCGCAGTCCCGAGGTCCTCGTGCGCAGGGTCGGGCTCGGCAGACCCGCGCGCGAGGGCGAGGCCGTCGGCCAGGCAGACCGACCGAGGGTGCTGCAGAGATTGCTTTGGATCGTCCTCGTCGTCGTCCTACCCCTCCCTCTCTCTCTGTCTCTCTCTCTCCCTCTGTCTCTTTTGTCTCTCTGTCTCTCTCTCTCTCTGTCTCTCGTCCTGCTGCTGCTGCTGCTGTTGAACCTACCCCCCCCGCCGCGCCTAGGCCGCAGCCACGTTTTCATCATTTTCGTGAGGAAGCCTCAGGTAATTCGATGTGATCCAGATCCGGTTGTTTTGTTGTAATCCGCTTTCCCTTGCAAAAAACACTATAAAATGACATTTCTTGTTCTAATATAATCAAATTTCAAGAATCCCTTGCAAAAAATAAGGTAAAGTGGACATTCGCGCGCGCAAGACGAAATCCTTCCAAAAGCTTAGTGTTCGGAGCGATTTTAACATAAAAACATCAAAAAACCAATGGTTTTTCAACAAAAAAATGTCAAAATCTCATCCCGCGCGCTCTTGCGGATTCGTAGGAAACCCAACACTTTTTAAACATTTCTGTCAAACGGGCTTTTGCGAGCAACTTTTTCGAACTTCTGCGACAACGGTTGCGCACCTGCCAGGGCCATCATCCCTGTCAAATAATACCATGCGGGACACATTCGTCTCTCTGTATTATGTATTGTATGGCACAATTGCACCATGCTGGGCACATGCGCGCCCCGAATAAGTGACCAAGTTCTGTGGGTGTGTACCCCACGCCAGTGTAGTAGCCACGGTCGTCCGCACGCCACGAAGTGAAGTGTCCCAACGTCATAGGGCGGGAAGCTGGGTTTGGGTGGTCGCGAAGAGTCGTTTGGATATTTGGTAGAGCTTGTAATGCCCCCCCACGAAGTGGGGGTATTGCCTGGTGTCGTATGAAAACCCTGGCACTGGGGAGAACACCACGCGTTCGGGTAAAATGATTGTTGTTGTTGTTGTTGTTGTTGTTGTTGTTGTTGTTTTTTGATGTCTCCCCCTCTGTCTCTTCAATGTTGTCTTTCTCTCTCTCTCTCCTTCTCTATCTCTCCGTCTCTGCCTCGCTCTCTCTCTCTCTCTCTCTTTCTCCCTCTGTCCCCGCTTGCCCCCCCCCCCGCCCTGCAAGCATGCACATCTATCCGCGCGCACACGTGCGGCTAATTTCTGGCAGGACGGCGCGGGTTCTGGTGTCTGTCGCCGCGTGAGCCATTCAGACCTGCACTCTCTGCCAGAGCGATCACCTTGCGCATCGACACGCGGCTTCGCTCCCCGACCGAGGAAGGCGAACGTCATACTCATTCGCACCACGCGCCCCCCCCATCCGAACCACGTGCCCCCCTCGCTCCGCGCAAGGGGAAGCGAGCCAGCGAGAAGACGCCGACTCAGAACGCCAGTCCGCCACCGCGCCCCTGTGGCCTGAAGCGGAGCGTCCCCGGGCCCCCCTGCTGCGGGGATGGACAGACCCCCCTTTAGTAAAACGTGGCTTAGTGAAAACGACCTGAGGCCCAAACCCGGCGGGCGCAGGCCTGGAAAATAACGGCCACGGCGCCCTCTCGAATACCGAAAACGGACAATTCACTAATCGACGTGTCGCTGTTGGGGGTTCTGTCCACCCCCGACTGCTCAGCCCCTGAGCCTCATTGGACGCCCGAGTTACCCCTGATGATTCGGGGCTCTGGACGCCCGAGTTATCCGGGGTAACTCGGGTCCGGGGTAACTCGGGTTCGGAATACCGAAAAAGGAACCCGAGTTAGCCCTGACCCGAGTTACCCCTGATGATTCGGGGCTCTGACCTCAGCCCTCCATCCCGACGATTCCGGAAGAGGCCCGGATCTCCCAGCTGCCGAGCCTTCTCGGGCCCGGCGCGTGCCCCCCCCGGGGCCCCGACGCGTCGTGTCGCGCAGGACTCCTTCGGGCAGAGGGGCCCTAAGTGAAGGGGCCCCAGGACACACAAATACATACACACAAATAAAACTATTCCCCATATTTTCCCATAGTTTCTGGATTTCTGTCTTCCCCCCCACTTCCCATATTTTCCCATATTTTCTGGGGAATCGACGATTAATTGTGTCTGTGTGTTTCTTTCCCTCCTGACTAAGACGGTCCAAGAGGGCCCCGAGTCGCTGGAGGATCGCCCCAAGACTCCCGAGATGGCCTTACGACGGCCCAGGATGCCCCAAGAGGCCTCCAGGAGGCCTCCCCAGAGGGCTCCTGGAGGCAGACATGCTACATCTTCTTTTGGTCTTTGATCGATTTTGGTGTTCTCGCATTGTCGTCTTTCCGACGCTTCAAGACGGCCCAAGAGGCCTCCAAGATCGCCCAAGGAGGCCTCCAGGAGGGCCCCAAACTGACCCAAGAGGGCCCCAAGAAGGCCCAAGAGGCCTCCAAGACGGCTCAAGCTCCACGAGGGGGCCCAGACGGGGGACCCAATCGGACATCCTTGCCACAGGGGTGCTTGGCGTGCTGAATGTCTTGAGGTTTTTATTATTGGTTCTTTTCCGGGGCTTCGGTCCATTGCGCCGGCCACCCGAAAGGCCGCACAATCCGCAGAAAGAAAAACTGCAAAGCGCCTCTAAGACAGCCAGGATGGCCCAAGATGGCCTCCTAGACGGCCAAGATTGCCTCCAAGACGGCTAAGATGGCCCCAAGATGCCTCCAAGACGGCCCAAAATGCACCCTAGACGGCCTAAGATGGCCTTCAGATGGCCAGCCTCCAAGACGGTCCAAGAAGCCTCCAAAAGGATATGCATGGAGGCCTGACGAGGTACAAATCATACAGTACAAATCATAGATATCCTAAGGTTTCGGTTTTTGTATTGGCTAGTTTTCGGCCTTCCGATGGCCCGAGACGGCCCAAGAGGCCCCCAACGTCGCCCCAAGATCGCCCAAGATGCCTCGAAGATTGCCCTATGACGGCCCAAGAGGGCGCCAAGACGGCCCCAAGAGGCCCCCAAGACGGCCCAAGAGGCGCCGTAACGGCCCAAGGCCCCCGAGACAGCCCCAAAAGGGCCCCAAGACGGCCCAAGAGGCCTCCAAGATGCCCAAGATGGCCTCCAAGACGGCCATGAAGCACCTCAACAGGGCTCCAAGTTGGTTCAGAGAGGACCCCAAGACGGCTCCCGACGGCGTCAGACGGGCCAGGAATCCCTTAAGACGGCCAAAGACGCCACCAAGAGGCCCCAAAGGCCCTCAAGGGGCCGAAGGAGGCCCCCCAAACGCCTCCAACAGGTCCCCAGGAAGTCCCGAGGAGGCCCCAAGAGTGCCCCAAGAGGCTCCCTAGAAGCCTCCAGCTTCTACTCCTCCTCTTCCTCCTTCTCCTGATCTTCCCTCTCATCCTCCCCCCGTGTTCCCGCAATAATTTCCTGAGAGGCTGGGGGAACACACAGTCCGACAACGTTTAGCCACAGAGGCGCTTCCCAAAAGGCAGGGGGGCGGCGGTGGTTCGCCGCAAGCGTCTTCGACATGTGCATATATATACATGTTTTTGAAGCGTCCGTTGATTCCGCTTCGAAGTGCGATATTGCAAGCCCATTGGTGGCAATCGCAATTTCAGACTGTGGAAGTGAACTACCAAGAGCGGCCGCATAGAACACCTCCCATGGCGCTATAGAAACGACGCGCAAAACTATTCAAACGACCTTGGACCACCTGAAACTGGTAGAAACAATCATCCGTTGCCAAGCCACGTTTGACGTATAAGTTTGCACAACGCACGCCCAGGCCGAATAATCTTGAACCTAGGCGGATGTGGCCAACTTGTCGATTTCTCGACCCGCAACGATCGTAGACTCCTTACCGCGGTCCGATCAGCATCATGCTCGCACCCGAATTCATGGCAAGTTAGTGCTGCCTTATGGCGACGCTGTAGCGACGTCGTGGCTACGTCCCCTCATGCCTGCACCGTCGAAACATCTTGGCCATCTCATTGCCACATCATCGTGGCCCCAATAATACTTGCAAGCTGGCACAAATACACCTCACGGCTCATGACCACCGCGCTGGCTTTCCTTATGCTTGATCTGTTGGTTGGCTGAATGGCTGGCGTCTTGATCATTGGCTGGCTGCCTGTCTTACATGAACGAGCGAGTGATCGATTGCCCATCTTGTTGGTCAGCTGATCTCATTTCTTAAAGCCTGGGCGAGCACGCCAAGCAAATCGCCAGCAATCCTCGGAACATGGCCAACCGAGACAGTGGGGGCCATCCCGACAGGCCCGAGCCCGTTCACAATCGGTCCCACATCTCCGGATCATCTGGCGGCGCAGCCGGTACGGAAAAATAGGAAGCGTTGGGCATACCGGAAGCTTCGGAAATTCTAGAACGTATCATCATCATGACGACCTTTTGCTCGTCGGACTCCACGAGGCACCAGAAAGAGCGGAAAACGCCAGGGAGGGCCGCCGCGGTCTGCACGGGCCCTCCTCCGAACCGAGCAGATCGCCAATAGCTCCCACCGGCGCCCCGCCGGCAGATGAGAGAGAAGGTAGAGGCCTCCCAAGTGGGGTCCGAGCAAGCGGGGTGTGAGGATCACTTCGCATGGCTGATGAGAAGGGGACAACCAATAACAAAAACATGCCAACTCGGATGTCCGCGCACATTTACCCCATAACCCTCTCAAGACCCCCTTCCGATGGAACGATCACGCAGACAGCGCCGTAAAGCGTTGCCCTGGCACCCTGGCACTTGGCCGTTGCTTAACACGCCTCTGGAACTCCCAGCAACCCTCGAAAGTGTCGAGGAGGAGGAGGAGGAGACGGAGGAGGATGGATGGATGGGACAGCTTCAAGGAGGCCCTGGCGGCCGTAAGGTTTCTCGGATCGGCGCTGGAGCCACCCGGCGGCGCCTCCGGCGCCGCCCCTGTTGCGCTCCGCGCGCCAGGGAAGGGGGTGCAGCGCCGAACTGGTCAGTCTGCGCGGACCTCTGAGCTCGCATGCTTCTGTCGTTGCTTACTCCAGAACAAACATGCATGGCCGATGCATCGGCGACGTCGGCGTGGAGGAAAAGTGGGCTTCGCATCGAGGGGCATCGCCGCTGCGTCGGCAGTGCGGGGCGATCCTCCAGCCCAGCAAGCTCGGGCCTCTATTCTGGGAGACCCTGGAAAAAAGAGCGCCCTCCTTCGGAGCGCCCGGCTCCTGCGCGCCACGCTCCGCACGGGGCCCCGAGCCCGAGTCCCCGTCGCTGCTCTTCGCGTCGCTGGGCAGCGGCGAGGACGGCTGCCGGGGCCGCGGCCGCGTCCCGGGGGGGGGCGGCAGAGTACAGTCGGGGCGTTGACCTAAGGAGCCCTAAATAAGGAACGAGGCCCTTTTGTCCATAAGTTAACCTTCGGTTTCCTCACGAAAGCATAAGGAAAGCCTGAGGCAAGCTGTGAAACACTTAAGGAACGCGGAGCCCCTTCCCAACGAACATGGTTCCTTCTTCAGGGCCCCGACTGTAGCACGGGCGAGAGAGGGCGGGAGATGTTGGGAAGCGGAGGACTATCGGGATCAAGCGATGCGCGACGATGGCGTCGAGGATTCCTTTTGTCAGCACGCAGATGTGCAGCCCGAGCCAGTACTTTGGAGCAGTGTCCGCTCTCTGGAGGGCTCGGCACAGGAACGTGGACGGCACCTTGGCTGCCCCGACACGCCACACGCAACACGTAGCGTGTGGACACGGAGCTCAACACGTAGAGTGAAAACGTAGGTCCGGCGCGATACGTTCGCCAAAGCGTGGGCCAACACGTTGGGCCCTCGAAAAGCATGGGTCAGGGCGGACCCGGGGGGGAAGGGGTCGGGGGACGGTTCTCTGGCGTCGTCCAATGGGAGGGCGGGAGATGTGAGAGGAGGGTCCACTGCTAGGGCCGCGAAGGCCCCCTCTTGGGCCCCAGAAGGCCCCTTCAGGGGGCCGAGAAATCCCCTTTTCTGCAGCCTTCGCTGCCTCCCCATCTATCGCCCCGCCCAAGGGATCTTGAGCGAGCCTGGGCCGAGCGGGGGGACGCTGTTGTCTCAGCTGGCCCTCCTCCCCAGGAGGAGGAGGAGGAGGAGGAGGAGGAGGAGGAGGAGGAGGAGGAGGAGGAGGAAAGGGAGGAGGAGGAGGAGGAGGAGGAGGAGGAGGAGGAGGAGAGGAGGAGGAGGAGGAGGAGGGGGAGGAGGAGGAGGAGGAGGAGGAGGAGGAGGAGGAGGAGGAGGAGGAGGAGGAGGAGGGGGAGGAGGAGGAGGGGGGGGAGGGACCAGATGAGAGGACGGGGCCGACGAGATCGGTCAGCATCGAGATCGTGAAGTCGGATCAAATCGGGATGTGCGTCGTGTCGGGCCGCATCTGCACGGGGCCGGGATCGGATCAGATCGTCCGGGCCAGGATGCGCACGCACGCCATGCAAACAACAAACAGCGTGCAGCCGCATCGAGCCGTCGGAACATCGGGGCCGACCGGGGCCGAGCCAGCCGCAACCGATAACGAATCGGTTCGATCGGATCGAAATGGACCCTGCAAGGGATGGACAAGGGGAGGGGGATCATGGGGTGAACGGGCGCGGCCAGACAGGGCTTGTGTGCGGGTGTGTGCGTGACGCGCGACTTCACAAGGATGTCAACGACTTTGAGCGTAACTCGCCATTGTGACTGCCCGCCGATTGGGTCCTTTGGCGCGTCGGAAAGGAGTGTATGTGTGCATATATGCGTTTGTGTGTGTGTGTGTGTGTTATGTTTGTGTGTCTGTGTCTGTGTCTGTGTCTGTGTCTGTGTCTGTGTCTGTGTGCGTGTGTGTTGTGCGGTGTGTGTGTGTGTGTGTGTGCGTTTATGTATGTGTGTGGGGGGCGTGTGTGTGTGTGTGTGTGCCCAACGTGCACCTCGTGGGGGATCAACGGTTCCTTGACCTCGGTGCATCGTCTGTGCTGTCGCCCGTGGCACGGGCGCCGAAACCCATCACTGCCTGCCTGGCCGCTTTTCAGCTGTGCCAGGGGCCCTACCCCCCAGGGTTGACGTGCTCGGTGCGGCTCGCCTTGCCCGTCTCAGAGATGACGCAAGGTCAGCCTCGTGCGGAATGCGCACTGCTACCGGCTGGTGCTGAGCACTATGTGTGACGGGTTAGGTGCAGCCACCTCGCTCACACCCGCTGCCGCCTGCTGGGTGCACCCCAACTATGAGCTCTGCCGCTTCCGCGCTGCGCCCTTTATAGTCGTACAGCGGCATTCGCTGGCCTCTGTGAGCGCCTGTCTCTTCCGTCTTGCATTGCGTTGCATGCATTTCGGCCTCTACCGCGCTTCTGAAGCTTCTTATGCATGCGTCTTCACCCATCCAATCCACTCATCTGCCGCGCCAGGTGCAAATTCGCCTGGGCATGCCCCAGCCGAGCTTTCGCGACGGAGCAGCCACCTCGCCGCTGGAGGAAACGTGTGTGCGTGCTGCGACAGTTCACAAGGAAACCAATGACTTGAAGCGTAGCCCACCATTCTACTGCCGGACAAGTGGACCCTGGAGGGAAACGTGTGTGTGTGTGTGTGTTTGTGTTTTGGAGCGCCATAAGAGGACGGCAGGGGACCCCGTGGGGCCTACCCGCCGACTCGGCCAGTTGGCAACGTGTCCCCGCGTCACCGTGCGGCACCGATTGGGCGCCAGGGCCACTCAGCACTTGGGAATTGTGTGTGTGTGTGTGTGCGTGTGTGCGTGTGTGCGTGTGTATGTGTGTGCGTGTGCGTGTGCGTGTGCGTGTGCGTGTGTGTGTGTGTGTGTGTGTGTGTGTGTGTGTGCGTGTGTGCGTGTGTGCGCGCGCCCAACGTGCCTCGCGCGGGGGACCAACGGTTCCTTGACCTCGGTGCACCGTCTGTGCTGTCCCCAGTGGCACGGGCGCCGCAGCCCATCGCTGCCTGGCTGGCCGCTTTTCTGCTGTGCCTGGGGCCCTACCCCCCAAGGTTAGCATGTTCGGTGCGGATCGCCTTGCCCGTTTTACAGCTCTAGGTCAGCATAGTGGCGAAAACGCACGACTACTGGCGCTCCTCTTTCCCGACCGGCCAACGCTGATCGCTAGGAGTGTGGGGTTAGGTGCAGCCGCCTCGCTCACAACGCCCGGACGGGCACAAATCCGCCGACCCTGTCGGCGCATCCCGGTGTCGTCGTCTTGCGTGGATCACCGTCGTCGTCGTCGTCGTCGTCGTCGTCGTCGTCGTCGTCGTCGTCGTCGTCGTCGTCGTCATCGTCGTCGCCCGAAATACAAGGAAATCGAACACGAAACAAAAGGAAATCGTGGTCGTGGCGAAGCCCCTCCCTACCCTCCCCACCGGGGGAGGTGGGGGGTGGGGGTTTGGGGGGGGGCAGATACGCATCCCGCCGGGCGACCGTCTCCCTCCCTCTCCCCCTCCCTCTCCCCCTCCTCCTCCTCCTCCTCGTCCTTCTCTTCCTCCTCCTCCTCCTCCCGTTCCTCCTCCTCCTCCTCCTCCTCCTCCTCCTCCTCTTCCTCCTCTTCCTCCTCCTCCCCCTCCTCCCCTTCCTACTCCTCCCCCTCCTCCTCCTCTTCCTCTCCTCCTCCTCCGCGTTCTCCTCCTCCGCCACGTCTTCATTTACCTCCGACGCCTTATCACGCATCCCGTCACCCTCGAGGGCCGAGGTATCCGCCTTAGCAATAGAGGACGCGCTACAGAACGTATAGCTGTATTGCAGGACGCGGTAACCCACGGGGGCAGAGAAACGGCCGCAGTGCCACAAGCAGGAAACGAGGTCCAAAATGCCATCTGCCTGGTGCCCAACTCGCCCGGCGCCGAACTCACCCGTCGCCTCACTCACCTGGCACCTGTAACTCGCCCTCTGCCCGGCTCGCCCGGCGCTTAGCGCACCCGGTGCCTAAGATACCAGGTGCCGGAATCACCTGCAGGAGCCTTCCTCATCCGGCGCTTAATTCACCTGGCGCCTAACTCAATCGGCGATTCACTCATCCGGTGCCTAGGGCGACAATTTCCTAACCCGCCCGGTGCCTAACTCTCCGGTGCCTAACTCACCCGGCACCTAACTCACCCAGCGCCTAACTCACCCCGTGCCCAACTCGGCCGCTGCCTAACTCACCCAGAGCCTACGTCACCCAATGCCTACCCCGCCGCTGCCTAAGTCACCTGGTGCCTACTCATCCAATGCCATGGTCGAATGCCTAACTCACCCTGTGCTTAGCTCACCCGTCCCTAACTCACCCAGTGCTCACCCAACGATTAACTCACCCGGCCTAACTCACCCAGTGTCTAGCGCACCCGGTGCTTAACTAACCCGGCTAAACTTGCTCGGAGCTCAGTTCATCCGGCTTAACCCACTCGGTCGCGATTCACACGGACCGATCGGAGCGAATGGATCGCGATCAGGTGAACCAGCCTTTTTCCCTCCCTGCTGATGCCAGCCAAGCACGCCTGGCAGGTCCCCACGAAAGGCCTGCAGCTTGCGGTGCGCGAGGCTCTGGAGCCCGAGCTCGCCAGCGGCGACGGGCAAGAGGGCCTGGTCGCGCGCGTGGGCAGGGAGCTCCTGCTCCCCGGTGTGCGGCTTCAAGACCTTGTGTGCGCGGCCGACAACCACCGAGTCGTAGACGTATCGCCACGCCTCGTCCAGCAGGTGCGCCCTCGCGTGGTGCAGGGCTGCGCCGTTGTTGAAGGAAGGCGCAGAGCAGCGTGAGCTCGCTCTGGGCGCGCAGCCCGTGTCCTCGGAACCTTCGGGGAGCTGCGAGGTAGGCGTCGAGGTGGTCATGGGCCGCCTGCGGGGCGGCAGCTGGCGAGAAGCTCGCCCTCGCGGGAGTCGCCGCCAGGGGCTGCTCGCGGCGTGGCGCACGTAAGGGAGAGTGCTCCCCCCACGCGCGTGAGCTCGGTCACCTCCGCCCTGACCAGCGGCCCAAGCAGCGGCAGGGCGTGCGGATTCCAGATCTTTTGTCTTCCGTGCGCTCGGGCGGAGACCCCACGCCGAGAACCAGCCTTGCGAGGAGTGTTGCTGCCAGTGCGCGCGGGCTGCCCACGACGTACACGCCGTCGCGGTAGGCCACCACCCTGGCGTTGGGGTCAACGCGGCGCGCCGCCGCCTTCAGGTACTCGTAAACCGTCGCCATCGAAACCGCGAAGAACGCGGGGGAGAGGGGGCAACCCTGGTACACCCCACGCTGCGCTGTGACTGGTGCCGCCCGAGCCACGGGAAGGCGAGCTCCGTGCTTGGTGGCGCCGCCGTACCGCCGTCGCGAGCCGCGCCAGCTCTGGCAGGCGGCCAGGGACCTCCCGTAGCAGGGTGTCCCGACACAGCTCCTCCTCCTCCTCCTGTTCCTCCTCCTCGTCCTCCTCCTCCTCCTCGTCCTCCTCCTCCTGCTCTTCCTTCTCCTCCTCCTCCTTCTCCTCCTCCTCCTCCTCCTCCTCCCCTTCCCTGTCCCCGTCCCCTTCCCCGTCCCCCTCCCCCTTCCCCTCATCCCCTCCTCCTCCTCGTCGTCCTCCTCCTCCTCCTCCTCCTCCTCCTCCTCGTCCTCCCTCCTAATCACGTCCTTCTTCCCACCTGCGAGGGGTGCGCCGAAATAGGCGGGGAGGCGCACGTGGCCGCGCACACCGGGGCCGTAAGTGGAGCTCCCTACGAGGCACGATGCTCGTGAGAGGTGCTGAGGGTGTGCCGAAATTGGATGGGGGGCGCATGTGGCCGCGCCCGGTGGGGCCGTCATTCGGTGGAGTTCCCTAGGGGACGACGACGAGGAGGCAGGCTGTCGCAAAGGGCAGGATGTCAGCGTGCAGAAGCCCAGTTGCCCATCGTATATCCAGGACTGTGGACACTGCGCGGCTCCAACCCGTGTGGGCATTGGGTACGACGCATCTCGGCAAAACAGAACATTCGGAAAAGGCTCAACATATGATAAGGTGACTCAAAGATTTGACAGCTCATGCCTCAGGCATTGCCTCTAGGACCTCTAATGCAATAGAGGAAAAGTGCTGAGTTGGTAAGTGCATGACTCAGTGACGCTTGCGAATCCCCTTGCCGAAAATGCAAAATGGCAACTCAGGACGAGGACCCTGCGAATTTGATCAGAACGCCCGCAACTCTCAACCAGGTAAACTACGTCATAACTGCACTCCCCCAGCATCCTCCACCATCTGCACACCACCTTGTCTCCCCATGGCGCCAGACTCAGGAAGACAGCCCGTCGAGGGAGGGGGTGCGACAGCGCGCCCGCAGCCTGTCACGGTGCCGCACCCGCTTGGCATGGCTTGGACGAGACGGCTTCTTGTGCCCCTCCAGGTGGCAGAAGGCGCACATCTCGGCTGTGTAGTGACAGGCGCCGCGGAGCGCGAAGACGCAGACGCGGCACGTCCCAGCGGCATGGGCCGCCAAGCCCTTCAGAGGCGCACAGAGCATCGGCGGCGGCACCGTCTTGACGCCGTCGATCGCGCGCTGGGCGAGCTCGGCCAGCATGGGGACGTCCTTCAGGAGGCCGAGGAGCCGGCGATACTCCGACCTTGTGCCGTAGCTCAGGGTCGCCGCCTCTGCCTCGAATGCCTGGACACGGGGGCCCAGCAGCTCCACCAGGGGGCCGCCAAGGATGGCGTCATGGTCCACGATGCCGTCCTTGGCAAGTGCGAGCGATGCGCTCCTTGGGCGGTTCCCGATCGCCGCCACGAGGCGAGCAGCTGCGCTGGCGGGCTCAGGAACGCCAATAAAATCTGCAAACTCTTCGCACGCCGCGGCGACCTCCCTGGGGTTTAACGAAGCAAAGCGGTCCACATCGAAGAGTCTGACTTGGCCTGGCCACTTCATCGCCTCCCGGGCCCACGCCACGGGGTGGCTGAACGGGTCCTTGTGAAAGGTTGTGAATTTCTCTCGCCGCACGACCAGTTCGATAAATTCGGCGAAGTCCCGCCCGCCATGCGGCAACGGCAGGTCGATGTTCATGGCATTCATCGCCTCCCACGTGACCGACAGCGCGTACCGCGGGTCCGATACCAGCACCGCGACCTTTGGAGCGACGCCCTCCTGCACCTCCTCCTCAGTGGGGGGCCACCTCAGAGGCCTCCCGAGTGGAGTCCGTTTAGATGGGGTCGGAGGATCGCGCCGCATCGCCGATGCATCGGCGATGCTGTGTGATCCACCGAGCCCGTCTACTTGGACCGCACTTGGAAGGCCTGGACACCTGAATGGCACCTCGTGGGGCAACTCGTGCGTCTTGAACAGCCGCCGACCGGGCCAGCCCGCCAGGAAGTCGGCGTACTTCTCCGCGCCTTGCCTCGAGGCGGCCGCCTCCAGCAGGTGCGGCTTGTCGAGGAGCCCCTCCGCGTATGGCTCCTCCCTGCCTTCCACAAGCGACACGAGCAGGCGCTGGAGCCCGCGGATGGTGAACCCGCTCGCCACGACCACGTCCCCCCTTCGGGGGGTCCACCCGCTGCGGAGCTTCTCGATCTCCACGGGGTCCAAGAAGTCGCACATCAGCGTGCCGTTCACGGTCTTGAGGGGGACGGGAGGGGGGGACCGGCCCAGATGGGGGGGAAACATCGACCTGGAATCGGCGAAACATCGCCGATGCGCATCGGCGATAGGCTCCGGATAGCGACTCCGCACGCTCCTGGGCGGGGTGGGCTACAGGCCCCTGCTGGCGATGACTGGGCGATCGTGGGTCGATGCGCCCCCCCCCCGAGCCTATCCCCCCCTCACGTTGCCCGATGCTTTGGCGGCCGTTCGGTACGATCTGGGCACCTCCAGAACGCTCTCGGCGAGGCGCAGCCGCTGGAAGGCACCACGAGGCTGGACTGCCGACGGGAACATCTTTCGAAAACCTTGAACCTCGAGCATATCGCCCCCCCGTGACGTCCCTCAAAGCTGACATCGCAGAAAATCACCTCTGGAGCCCAGAACGCCACCTTGCTGCCCCACGTCCCAAGCCAGACCGATCCGTGAGGGCCTCGGGGCCCGAAACTGGGCGAACACGCCCGTTGTGAGTGAACCGCAGCGCCAAGATCTCAGGGGCGGCCCCCGTAGCATGGGGGAAACAGGCCCCGGACCCTGGGGCCTTCCCCCAGGACCCCGTGTTCCCCCCGAGCCGTTTTCTGACGGTCCCGGGGCCCGTGGAGGGCCTCGGGAAGCCCCAAACGGCGAGGAACCTCAGGACCCGCTCCCCCCCTGGCGAGCCCCCGAGGCCTTCCTCCCGATCGCCGGCCCCCCTGGCGGGCCGCCGCCGTCGGCCCCTCAGGACCCGCTTCCCCCCTGTCAGGGGAACGTAAGACCTGGGCACAGGGGACTCGGAAATCCCCGACGAGGTCGTCAAAAAAATGACGAGGCCGAGCCTGCATTTTGCCGAGGCCTCCCGCTGCAGACATCCCACGAAACTCCTCCTCGTCAAAGTCCGAGGCGCGGCCGTCAAAAAACGATGGCGAACCCGAGTCCTGGCAAACCCGGGGCTTACGCTCCCCCGACCCTGGCGAGCCCCCGAGGCCTTCATCCCGATCCGGCCGCCGCCGGCGGCCCCGCCCGTGGGCCCCGCGGCTCGGGGCGGGCTCCCCCGCGGGCTCGCCGCGGCGGCGCCCCCGTCGGCGCCCCCGCCGGCGGCCCGCGTCGGACCCGCGGAGGGCGCGGCGGGCGCGGGCGCCGCAGGCGCAGCGCCGGCGGCGGGGGCCGGCCAGGCGCCGCCGCCGCCTTGCGAGGAGGAGGAGGAGGAGGAGGAGGAGGAGGAGGAGGAGGAGGAGGAGGAGGAGGAGGAGGGGAGGGGGGGGGGAGGAGAGGAGGAGGAGGAGGAGGGGAGGGGAGGAGGAGGAGGAGGAGGGGGAGGGGGAGGAGGAGAAGGAGGAGGAGGAGGGGGAGGTGGGGTGGTGGTCCCTGTCGCTTCCCTCTCCGGGCGGAGGCAGGACGCCGTCGGCCCTGCGCCCGACGCGGCGCCGCCCCGCCGCCCGGCAGGTTCCCGGCTGCACGCAAGATGTCGGGGGGGGGGGGCGAGAGGGCAGGGTAGCAAAGGGCAGGGTAGAGGATCAGCTCACGTAGCATGGTTTTCCTGGCACCTCCGGAAGAGTGAGCCCGACGGCGGGGCAGAGACCAGCTGCGTGCAGCAGATCCCCCCAGCCCCCTGGGCGACAGGTGGTCTAACTATGTTTTTCTTTCCTCTTCCACAACCCCTTCTTCCCCTTCGGGGAAGGACCCCTATGATATACACCCCCTCCCCTACCCAGCCTGCGGCCAACCCGGAACCATGACGACCTCATTGAGGGCCACCCTCCATCGATCCCTGTCAAAAACCATACAAAACGCACTCTGCCTCCTCATTTGGAGCATGCGCGGCCGCCCCGCGACCATTTTGCATGGGTATTTTTTGTTAGGGACGGCTGGGGCGCCAGCAGATCCCACCTGCCTTCTGGGCGCAGGTGGTCGACCGACTGGTTTGACATATCAATGGCTGCTGCTTTTTCGCCTTACCGTTTCCGACGGGATTTCGAAACCTCCACATGGCTCCAAAATTGACAAAGAAATCTCATAGCCTGGCCCAAGAGCCCCTACTGGTTCCCAGTGGCTGGCGCACCTGGCGCGGCTGGAGCACGTGGAACACTGGGCGCACGTGGAGCACCCGCCGCACCTGGCGCGCCTGGCACGCTTGGGTCTCCAGGGTCTGGTGCATCTGGAACCCGCGGCGTCAGCGGCGTTCTTACGCGATATGCTGGCTCCCAGGTGTTACGTATGTGTTGGGAGGGCGGGTGGGAGTGAGCGGGTGGGAAGCTTGACCCCTCCCCCTATCCCCTCCTCTTGACCTGGACGGGCGGGACCGCGAGCGGTCAGAGGGTCCTTTTTGGCCCAAGATGGCTCCAGGAGGGCCTCAGAGAGCCCAAGATGGCCTCCAAGATCGCTCAAGATAACCCAACATGGCTCAAGATAGCTACCAACATGCATCCAAGAGGCCCCAAGAGGGCCGCAAGACCGATCCAAATGCTGTTGGACACCCCTCAGGACCTCCCCGAGGAGCCAACATCCTTCAAACACCGAAGGAACATCAATGATGTGTGCCTTCTCGCCTTCTCGCTTACGATGCGGTTTTGAGGCGTCAAGGTGGCCCCTCGATGGCTCAATAGAGCTCTAAGAGGAGCCCAAGATGCCCCCAAGACGGCCCCAAGACCGCCCAAAAGCGCCCCAAGAGAGGCCCGAAAGCGTTACCAGAGGCTATTTTGATGGCCCCAGTGGGGGGTCTAAACGTTAGGACCCCCCATCTTTTCACCGACACCCTCCACCACAGCCCCAAGGGGCACTGCAGGGCTCCCCAGAGGCCACTAATTGCGTCCCCAGAGAGCTCCAAGAGGGCCCCATGAGGGCCCCAAGGCGTCCCAAAAGAGCCCCAAGAGGACCTCAAGACCCCCCAAAGAGCCCCAAGAGGGCCCCAAGATGCCCCAAAAGAGCTACAAGAGAACTCCAATATCCCCCTATACAGCCCCGTAGCTTCAAGAAGGCCTTCGATGCTCCAAGATAACCTCCAAGATGACTCAACACCCTCCTTCCTCTCCTCTCCTTGCACGCTCTGTTTCACTATATGTGTTTCTTTCTCCATTTCCAGGCAGCTCTCATGGGCAGGGCTCCTGAATGGGCTGGTGGGGATTCGCGAAGCGTGAATAATGTCGTACCCCTCATTTCCCGATTCTATCCTGTATTCGTCCGGCCCGAAAGAGTGGCCCTAGGCAAAGAGTGACCTTTGGTGCGCGGCTTTCGGAGGCCACGCTGGAGCGCGCAAGCCCCTGCTGTGGCATGGCGTTCGGCCAGCCGGGGGCCCTGGTGTGCCCGCACCAAAAATCTCTCCTGAGAACGGTGACTCTTACGTGTAGCCGAGGTTCGCGCGGCGCTGGCGCGCGCACACATTTTTGACACCGCGTCGATCGTTCAACCTTGAATCGATCGCTGTGCCGTGTCCATCGGCTCTTCCGCGTCGCAGAATTCAGCCTTGACCGCCTTCGCCGGCGTTCGCCAGCACGCCAACGCCGCGCGAACCGACTGCTCCTGCCTGGAGTGGGGATGAGGGGGTGCGGCCTGGCTCGCAGGGGGGGGGGGAAACGGACCTGCTCGCGTCGTGTGACACAAGACAGGGCAGGAAACTTTTTCGCTGTTTGCGGCCTCTGGGGGCCCTCGCTGGGCTCTGGGATCGTCAAGAAACGGTTCGCGACGAGAAACCGGCCCCGGGGAAGGGGTCGGGACTTCTGGGACCCCGCATGGAAAAATTACCCTGTGGCGAGCCGCGCTCCTGCAGCGCCCTCGGGCTGGGGCCCACCGGGCGCCGCCCGCGGGCCCGCGGCATCGCGCCGAGGGGGCGCCCGCGGGCCCTGCACCATGCGGGAGGTCGGACGAAGCCAGGACGAGGACAGGAGCGGGTGAGGGTGCATCGAACATCTCTGAGATCCGGCGGACCTCGGAGATGTTTCGGAAGCCGCCGCCTTCTCGAGCGCTCTGGAGCGGGCTTGTCCTCGTCCGAGCCCCGTCCGAGGAGGGCTGGCAGGGGGCGCCCCCCTGGGCGCGCAGGGGCGGCCCGAGCCAAGAGAGAATGGCTTGAGCCACAACGGCTGCGGAGGGGACGATGGGGAGGAGGAGGAGGAGGAGGAGGAGGAGGAGGAGGAGGGGGCGGAGGCGGAGGCGGCGGAGGAGGAGAAGGCGGAGGAAGAGAAGGACGACGAACGGAATGGGACGATCACGATACTGCGCGGTGGCTCCAGTTGAGCAGCGCCAGGCAGCCTGGCAACGAAAGTAGGTAAGGATCTCTGCGTTCGACATCGGGGGCGATATCGGATAATTGTTTGGGACTCGACGCCCTCTCTGCCAGACTCTCAGCAATGCAAAGGCAGGTGGCCGCATCGCTGTCCAGCCGAAGCTGGAATCTCCCTGTCAAAATTACGCAAAGGGAATTTCCAACACATAAATCTGAGTTGCCCGACTCCAGAGCAGCGTCACGCGCCTTAGCAGGCAACTCCTCAAGGCGGAAGGAGGCCGCCAGGGCACGAAGAGTCACTGCCTCCTGCAAGCGCGCCGCGCTGCAACCGAGAGGAATGGGAACATCAGGAGCCAACGCGCCAACACAGGACAAACCGTTGGTCGCGGGAGATACAGCACAAGCGTAAGCGGCTTCCCTGCCATCGTCCAGCCGCTCCGCCCGCCTCGAACGCGAGGGCGGGAACGGCTGGCCGCGGCAGGGGCCTGCTGTCCACCTCGGGGATCCAGTTCCTCCGAACGCTCATAACGCGAGGAGGGGTAGGATCCAAGGACGAGGAAAGACCAAACTCGGCAGCAGCAGTCAGTCCCACGCCACTATCCTCGCTACCTTAATGGCAACCGCAGAAGGATCCGCCTCGCGAGATTGCGGAGGGCCTTCTGGAGTAACCTTGGGCAACAGCGCGGTGGCCGTCCCGCCAGAGCTGGGTGACGCACGGCCTGCTGCCACAACAGAGCTCTTGCCATGTAAGAACATGGGGGCAGCCTGATTGCCGCCCTCTTCGGTCAAACCCACATCTGTGCCAATCGCAACGGAATCGAACAAGCCAATGACCAAGCTGATGTTGACAGAAACGTGATTTCTGCGAGGATTTGGATGCAAACCCTTGACATAAAGGACACGCCAAGCATGCTGATCCTGTCTAGAAAGACAGGCCATCCACTCGAGCACCCGTGCTGTGGAAACGACACCGCATGCAAACGAAACGGTGACTGCCTTCGAGCACGGGAACGCGAGCCAGAGTAAAGAGAGGATGCGTCAGCGATGCTGCAATACACCCTCCTGCCCCAAGTTCCCTCACCATCAGTTCCTGCAGGCCTTCTTTTTCACTATAAGAAGCGCCCCCTTGAAATGCCAACATCCGATGGGCCTGCCCTCCAAGCGAGAGCCCCATTTTGAAAGGGATTTGCATTGCATCTTTTTTAGCGCGTAATCAGGAATACAAGAACATATGGCCATACAGTCCAACGAGGTTTCCAGCGAGCTCCCCGCTTTGGAAAACCAGTTCGCCCCTCATCCATGTAATTAACTGTTGCGCGAGCTTGCACCCCTGGCCGTGAACATAGAGAAAGTCTCAAGCGAGAGCCACGTTGTTGCAGCTTCCGACCCGTGCTTCAAAGGCAACTCCAGCGAGAGCTTTGTTTCGGACAAGAGCAATGGAGCCGTCCTCCATCCCTGTAAATCTCGCAGCCTTTTGCAACGAATGTGCGCGGCACTCGAGCGAGAACCCAATGTTGAAAAGGAGCCGCTTCGCATCCCTGTAACTGCTGCAACATTTTAGAACGAATGTGCGAGGCGCAGACGAGAGCCCCATTTTGAAAAGGAACCGCCTTCCATCCTCGTAGCTCCTGCAAGTGCTTAAGACGCGCGTGCGCAGCGCTAACGCAAAAGCCCCATTGTGACAACGAGTCGCCCAACATTATTGTAGCTGCTGCCATATTCTAAGGAAAACGTGCGCCGTGCTACAGCGAGGGCCCCATTGTGAACACTACGTTTGCTGTATCCTGTAAGCTGACGTAAGCTTCTAAATCGAATGTGCGCGTCGCTACAGCGAGAGCCCCATTTCTACAACGACCTGAGCTCCATCCTTGTAACGGCAGCACGCTTAAAGAACTAGTTTGAAAGTTGTTAGGACGAGAGCCCTATGTGCCCAAAGACCAGTGCTTCATTGTTGTAGCTGCTCCGCTTCAGTTCCAAGAACATCAAGAAGAGGAGGCCGAACGGTCATTCACTGTCCCTGGGCGGGTGACGGGTGGCTGAAGTGATGTTCCGCGCAGCGGATTGTTGTTGTTGTTGTTGTCGTCGTCGTAGTTGTTGTTGTTGTTGCTGTTGTTATTGTTGTCGATGTTGTCGATGTTGTTATTTGTTGTCGTCGTCCCACCTGCGACCCGACCCGCGACCCACTCGCGACCCCGCCCGCCACCCACCCGCGACCCTCCCACGACCCACCCGCGACCCACAAGGGACCCACCCGTGACGCACCCCGCGTCCCACCCGCGACCCACCCCGCGACCCACCCCGCGACCTACCCGCGACCCACCCACGACCCAACTCGCGATCCACCCGCGGCCCACCCGCGACCCGCCCACATCGCTTTAACGAAAAGATCGGCGCCTTCGGCGGGCTCGTTGTTTGGTTTGAAAATGTGAGGCGCCTGCGGCAGGCCTTTTCCGAACCTCCCAGACTTTCTGACGTCCCGGCCGCACCCTCACTCTTAATCGCAACTGCGGGGTGCTACGTAAGAGGTGAAGATGCCTCAGGCGAAACGCCAGGCCCGCCCTACCGACTCGTCTGGGGGTGCGACAGAGAGGAGATGTCTGCACGGAAAGAAGGCGGTGGGGCGCGGCGCTGCGTATCCAAAAGGAGGACGCACTTACACAGGAGGTTGAGGAAAACAAGCCGGTCACACATATGAAATCATTCGCCAGGGAGCGGACGGCCTGCGTGATCCCAATGATATCACCGGGGGCCAAATTCAAGCCCTTGAGAGTCGGAGGATCGCGCCGCATCGCCGCTGCATCGGCGATGCATCGTCGACATCGGCGATGCATAGGCGACGTCGACGTGGACAAAATCGGGCTCCATGTCGAGCCGAATCGCCGATGCACCGGCGATGCTACGCGACCCGTCAACCCCACCTCTGCTTGGACCCCACTTGGGAGGCCTAGGCCCACCTCCTCAGAGCCCTAGGCCACAGGATGCCCACGCACCCTCAGACCTGGCGTTGCAGACAGTTGCAGCATGGCAGAGAATGACCACCGGAGACAGGGCAGAAAATGCACACCAGAGACTCGGACCCCGTCGTCCTGCGCAATTTTCCGGGTCGCATCGATCTGCGAGGGTCCCAGGGCCCGGAGCCGGGCGAAACCGCCCGGTGCGAAAAAATCGCAACGCCAAGATCAGAGTCGTTCACGGCGGCAACAAAAGCGGAAACCGACCGAACCGACAATGGAACCGACACCGACTGAAATCGACAGGCCACAAGCAACGTAGAAGGGCGCAGCGACGCGGCAACGGCACAACAACCGGACCGAACCGAACCGACCGAACGCACCCGACTGCGACGCAACCGAACCGACCTAACCACGAACACACTTGAGGATCTCAGGGTAAACCTTCGGGAGATCGACTACATAATCGACGTACCCCCAGATTGTTTCGTTCGTCGGATCCACGAGGAGTGCGCGAGCAGGTTCGCAGATCTGCGGAGCACTCCACATCTGTTTGTCGACTCGGCGTCTCGATGATGTAGGCGATCTCCTACTCGAGACACCCCTGAGGATCTCAGGGCAACCTTCCGGGAGCGACGATGGCTGGCATAGGTGGAGGCACCCCGACCTGGGACCAGCAATACATCGCCGATGCATCGGCGATAGGCCCTCGATAGTGAATCAGCACGTTCCTGGACAGGTTGGGGCTATCGGGCCCCCTATCGCCGATCAACGGGCGATTGGGGGTCGCTGCATCCCCCCCTCTGCCTACCCCCCGCGATCGTTGCCCCTGGAACTTTTTCATTGAAGGCAATCAATTATGAAAGCGTACTTCTGTTTTCAGTGAGCTCTCTGCCTTCAGTGGGCAACTTGTTGCCTTCACTGAACAAGTCTTGCCCTCAGTGAAATATCTTTGCCTTCAGGGGGGACACATTTGCCTTCAATTGAGCTCATTGCCGCTCCTTCGGGCTAACGGGGCCTGCGCCGCTGAACGCCACAGCCTCGAGTAGAGTGTTCGGAGTCGACGAAAGTGGCGAATCGACCAGGGGCAGGCATTACAAGTATTCGCCAGGGAGCCTTGCCGAAGACATGCACCATCGGCGCACCTGGATACATCCATCTATTGCCCCCCCTGGCTATTCGCCCCCATTGTCGCCTCAATTAGAGTCTTGGGGAAGTATGACATAAACCATAAGCTTTCGGAGGTTCGCGCGGATTTCTTGGATCGGCGCTGAGCCCCCTTCCCTGTCGCGCGGAGCCCGCCAGGACTGGCGCTGGCGGCGCCGCCAGGGGGGTCCAGCGCCGACCCATGAAACCTGCGCGGGCCTCCGACAAATGATGTTTACATCCTTACTTGTTCCCCGAAGCATGCGTGTGCCAGCCAAGCCACTCGGGCGTGTGCAGAGCAGCGCGGCGCGAAGACCATCCGGCCTGCGACGCAGTGGAACGAAGAGGAGGAGGAGGAGGAGGAGGAGGAGGAGGAGGAGGAGGGAGGAGGAGGAGGAGGAGGAGAAGGAGGGGAACGAGGAGGAGGAGGAGGAGGAGGTGGAGGAGTGCAACCTGAGGATAGGAGAAGGAGGAAGAAGAGGAGAAGGAGGAAGAGGAGGAGGAGAGAAGGAGGCCCTCCTGCCTGGCGCGTGCTGCTGGTGGCGGACGTCTGGAACTCCGCCGTCATGATCTCCTGGGCCCCTCCCCTCGGGGCCACGCGCCCGCTCCCTGCCGCCGTTCCCCCCCGTCTCACCCGCGGCCACCCCTCCCCTGTGCGCATGCCGCTCGAGCCCCGTGTGTGAACGCCGTGCCTCGCGAGCCTCAGCCTCCGCCAGCAGCGGGCTCGCCAGCTGTTGGAACGTACGCCACTGTAGCTTCTTGGTGCACGCGGCCTGCACGCTGAGCTTGTGCACAGAGCCCCCCCGGTGGTCGTGCATCTATAACTTGCTGCTGCTGTTGCTTCTGCTGCCCCTCCTCCCAACAAACCCCGAAAATGGCCCCACGACGGCCCAGAAAGGCCCCTCTGAAGGCCGAGATGCCCCGTCAGTGCGCCCAGAAGCCCCCACGAGGCCCCGAGCAGGCCGAGCCCCACTGGAAAAGTTCGGATGGCGGCGCCACCCCCATGCCGGCACACCTTCACAAGTTTCGTGGCCCCATAGGGAGCCCCGCCGAAGGCCCCAGTGGCAAAGTTCGTATGGCTGCATCGCACCAGTCTCGGCACACCCCTCACACGCTTCGTGGCCCCATTAGCGAGCTCCGCCGAAAGCCCCGATGGCAAAGTTCGCATAGTTTCACCGCGCGAGTGTCGGCACACCCCTCACACGCCTCGTGGCCCCATAGCGAGCTCCGCCGAAGGCCCCGATGGCAAAGTTCGCATGGCTTCACCGCACCAGTGTCGGCACACCCCTCACACGCCTCACACGCCTCGTGGCCCGCACCGCGCCTGTTTCGGCACACTCGCCGCACGTTTCGTGGCCCTACAGGGAGCCCCGCCGAAGGCCCTGGGATCATATGTTGCATGGCTGCACCGCGCCATTGTAGGCACACCCTTCCCGCGCTCCGTGGCCCCATAGACAGCTCCGACGAAGGCCCAAATGGCATAATTCGCATGGCAACACCACGCCAATCTCGGCACGCCCTCACACGCTTCGTGGCCCAATAGCGAGCTCCGCCAGAAGCCCCACTGGAAAAGTTCGCGTTGCGGCGCCGCGCATATTTCGGCACACTCCCTCACACGCTTCGTGGCCACACATGGGGCCCCACCCGTGGCAAAGTTCGAATGGCGGTGCCGCGCCCATTTAGGCACCTCCCCCGAACGCTTCGTGGCCAAGGCCCCAACAGAGTTCGCTACTCGCTACACGCTTCGTGGCTCCATAGGGAGCCCGGACCGAAGGCTCCAGTGACAAAGTTCGCACGGCGGCACCGCAACCAAGTCGGCACGCACCTCTCACACGTTTCGTGCCCCACAGGGAGCTCCGCCGAAGGCCCCCATGGCAAAGTTCGCACGGCGGCCCCGCAGACATCTCGCCTCCCGCCGCGCCGATTTCGGAAGGCCCCACGCGCAGATCGCTCCCTCTCCGCGCGATCGCTCGCTCATCGGCGTTGCCCCCTCGCTCCCCGTGTGCCCCTGTTCGCCCTTGTCCCTCTTATCCGCACCCCAGTCCTTTCACTCGCCTGCGTCCTTAGTCTCACCTGCCTTGCGGTACTCGCAGCTGCAAAAGGTTGGGTCTTTCGCCTACACGGTCTTTCCCCAACCATCCTGTAGTGCTGGGTCCTCGTTCTGAAAAGACAGTGCCGCGCTCCACTCCCACCCGCTGCCTTCCCCGTGTCCCCCCTCCCTGGGTCACCTCAGACCCCCAGCCGGCTCCAAGTCATCTGATCCCTTCCTTTCCCATCATCAGAATCGTCATCGTCATCGTCATCGTCATCGTCATCATCAACATCATCATCAGCATCATTATCATCACCACCATCATCAACATCATCAATATCATCATCAACATCAACGTCGTCGTCGCCATCGTCGTCGTCACCAGCATCATCAACAACATCACCACCACCATCATCACCAACATCATCATCATCACCATCACCATCATCATCGTCGCCATCGTCATCGTCATCGTAATCATAATTGTCATCGTCAACGCCATCGTCGTCATCATCATAATCACCACCTCCGTCATCATCATCAGCAGCATCATCATTAGTACCATCAGCATCATCATCACCACCAACATCATTATCATCATCACCAGCATCATCATCATTAGCAGCATCATCATCGTCGTCATCATCACAATCGTCATCATCAGCATCGTCATCACCAGCAACATCATCATCACGTCATCATCATCATCATCATCATCATCATCATCATCATCATCATCATCATCATCATCATCATCATCATCATCATCGTTGCCTTCCCCGCCCATTCCACTCCCGCTGCCGCTGTCGCAACTGCTGCTGCTCCCGCTTACTCCGCCCAGCCCGGCCTCTGCTGGCTTCCTCCACGACGGGCCGCTTCGGAGGGCGTCCTCAGCACGGTCGGAACCTTGGATGGCCAATGCAAAATGGTAGTACGGCCGAAGATGTGATCAAGAACAGCGGACACCTGGGCCAGCTTCTCAGAAATGTCTGAAAGCAAGCCTGATCATATTTCTGTTGCTATTCTCGTTGGAGGGGCCACAATGCCCAACGAACTGGGCCAGCTTTCCGGCAATTCGGCTAAGAAACGAAGGCACAGATTTTCGGGAGGAGGTTTCCTAATCAGATGCTGGACTGTAGTGGTCGTAAAAAAGAAAGGCGCAATCGTCGTCATCTGGGGCTACCGCGAGTCCCACGTGCGAGTGGCACGCGCGCCCCGGGTCGTATAGATCTGCAGGCCAGGCGAGAAAGGTGTGGAGATGAGCGGGGCCATCCTGGGGGTTATCTGGGGCCCCGTCGAGCCTGTTGGAGCTGGGCTGAGGCGCCTCGGGGCCGTCTGGGAGTAATTAAAGTAGTGTTCGGCTGTCGTGGAGCCGTCCTTGGATCTCCACGGCCATCTTGGCTCGTGTTTGGGGCCTCCAGGGCCGTCTTGGAGACTCACAGGGGCACCGAATACAGAATACCTGCTTGGAAACCTCTTAGGTCATCTGGAGATGGGAACGGGCGAGCGTCAACCATGTGACTGCCTCCCAACGCCACTCCTTGGGATGCCGTCGGTGTATCGGGGGACAGGCCAAGCAACGAGGAGGGCCTTGAAACGCCACGATACAGCCGAAAGTTTCTGAAGACAAGCCAGGGCCACGTTTCGTGTTAATACTGGGGGGCGAACGCGCTCAAGATTCCGGGCAAGCTTTCCGGCAAATTGATCTAGAAACGCTGGCCCTGCTTTTCGGGAGGAGGCTTCGAAGTCAGACAATGAATCGCCTCATATCGGTGGCCTTTGCGTCTGCGTCTGTTCCGGCCCTTCAACATTCGCTTGAACCGATCTGGACGCACGGCCGTGCACGCACCGGCCAAAACGCTCAGAAAACCTAGTACAACGGCCCCCCGAAACTGTATGCTTCCAGGGGGCGTCGGGGCCATGGCAAGAGTCGGTGACCTTTCCTGGTAACCGATCAGGCATCTAAGCCGAATGCCCCATGCTGTAGCGCGCACACGAGTTCGGCTTGATCGATGAAACATTGCTAGCGCAACTCAAATGTTTCAAATTTGAGCTGCAAACTCATGCGGCGATTCATGCGGCGATGAAGATGCGCAAACCACTATTTCTCATGCCAATCAGCGTGTACTGCGCACCCTTGCTGAACTGACACGCAGGAGCAATACATGCGTTCGTATATGTTCGGCGCCCATATGGGACATTGAACCACGAATCCTTGTACTGGGACAAACGACTTGCACCAATGTTGCAACGGCTTCCGCTAAAAAACAAGCAACTCCCGCCAACTGCTAATGTTCCGTCGATTCGTTCTTTATCATGTTTCCCTCACGAGAAGAGATACGGCTCAGAGGTTGCAGGGGCCATCGCCTCTCACTGGGCTGTCCGACTGCTGTTTATGGCACTTGCAGAGGCGCGCTCGTTTATGCCATCCCTTGCACCGCATATTCACATTCTATCTCCTCTGCACACACTGCGCTCCTTTCACACGCGTGGTCCATTCCTGGCCACGTGCTTCATAAGGTGTGTGAAGAGGGGAAGAGGCGTTTACCCCCCGCTGTACTGCCCAATGGCTTGTCTGGGCTTGCCTGGCCCATGAACACTTGAAAGCGGAAATGCATCAACAAGTGCACATTCAGAAGCAAGCGATCCATGCCCGTCTGGCCAATGTGTTTGGGTGAGGTTCTCATCGTAGTCGTAGTGGATGTCTTTACCAACGAAGTTGACGTTTCCATCACCTCCCACAGCGTTTCCAAGCAACTGCGCTGAGACATGTGCAGAACAATCTCGGCCAACGTTCGTCCACGTGGCGGCCAGGGGGTCTGAGCTGGGTGGGCACCAAAAAGATCGGTGAAGAAGGGGGGATCAAGGCAAATCCGTTCAAAATCTGTCCCCAGACCCCTCTCAGGGTCCACATAGTGCTGTTTTTCATTGGGGATCCGTTTGCGACGGTCCTGGGACCTGTGAATGACACCCAGAGGCCGAAAAAGGCATACCAACTTTTCGGACCCAGAGCCTTGAACCTCGCCTCCCTCTTTGCTCGCCGGAACCAAGGCTGGGCCACCTCAGACCCCCAGCTGGCTCCAACTGCCTGCCACCCCACGCTCAGACTGCTCCCCGTCCTGCCCACGCAGCGCCCGAGAAGGCCGCCCCTGTCTGCCCCTGCAGTGCAAGCCCTGACACTGGACTGTTCGACTTCTCGAGGCCCAGACCCCTCGACCTCTCCCCCAGCGCCGGCCTTTCATCCAGAGTCCTTTTGGAAGGCCCTGGGGACCCACGACCCCCCCTGGAGGGCTGCTCCCCCCAAGACGCGGGACCTCCGGATTGCGGGTGGGAGGAGACCCCCCCGTCCGCAGGGTCGCCCGCGGCCGCGGCGCGGCTCCCGCAAGCTGCCGATTGCACCACCGGCACCGCAAGGGACAGGCTTACCAACAAGAAGGACACCCTGGGCCCAAGCCCTTTCCGGAACAAAAACCTTCCCGAACCTCTCGAACTTCGCCCGTTCCCCTGCTGCCGGCCGGAACCAATGCTGGGCCACCTCAGACCCCCAGACGGCTCCAAGGTGGGAGGGCAAGCAATTTCTAGCGCATTGCGCGCTTGCCACCGCTGCAGCGCACGCACGCCTCATTGAAGCAACTGGCGGCGGGCAGTCCCCAGTGTCCTGCATGCGAACGGCGCAAAGCGACATGGAAAGATCACGGCAGGGCGATGCCATCATCGATGCGTCATTGGCCCCCGCAGCACTCACTATCAGCGCCTGTCCTTGGAGATGCCGATCCAGTGCAGATAACATGAGTGTCCCCAACACTAGCTTAGTGGCAACCGAATGGATTGCGCTCTCGAGGCCCTCTGGGCGGAGGTGGTTTAACAAACTTCCTCCTCCAACCCCCTTCTTCACCTTCGGGGCGTTCCGTCCTGCATCGGCACCGTGCCGCCCTCGATGGAATGCCTCTCCCTGCCATCATGCGTCCGCGCTGCGCGGCGCCAACTGTCCGGCTCTGGATGCCCCGAATCCCCAAAATGCTGACGTCTCGCTCTTACTGCCTCCGCCTTCCGCCGACGTTCCGCCGGCGAATCCGCCACCATGCTACTTCCGCTGGCCTCCGCCGACGACGAGAACGGGGACGACGACGAGGAAGAGGACAACGAGGACGACGACGACGAAGGCGAGGCCCCGTCTGGAGCACCCCAAGTGCGCTTGCGCGAGCGCACGGTACCACGCTCGCTGTCCATGGCCACCTCTGCCTCTGCGGCTATCTCTGGCCTCTGGCTCCTCCTCCCCCTCCTCCTCTCCCTCTTCCTCCTCCTCCCTCATCCCTGCTTCTTCTCCCTCCTCCTCCTCCTCCTCCTCCTGCCTTGTCCATCTGCACCACCCGCGTCACCGCCACGCAGCCAGTGTGAGCCGCGGCGCAGGAGAAGCAACTGTCATCACGGGCGTCGGTGGGAGGCCGAGGGACCAACATGTAAATTCAGAGCAAGGACAGGAGGGATGGAACATTTGTGCCTATACATATAGATATATACATGTCTGTGTATACATATATATATATACATACATACATATATATACATATATATATATATATATACATGCACTAGAACCACGCGCGCGCTTCGCGCGCGCTTAGGTTCTAACAGGCCCCAAGCGTTGACGAGTTGAAGTGCTGGACCACATCTGGCTTGAGCGGGAAGTGAAGAAGTGTCCATAACGCTGAACGCGTTATGGGCAATGAGAAATTCACGCATGTCAATCCGCATTCCGGGAGGCTTTCGGGGAAGATCGTTGCGTAGTAGGGGGGCGGACGCCTGATGGATCGGGTTCCCAGAAGGCCTTCTGGGAACATTGATATTTGGGGCGTCTGTGGGAGCCTGTTGGGGCGCGCCGTCGTCGTCGTCGCCGCCGTCGTCGTCGTCGTCGTCGTCGTCGTCGTCGTCGTCGTCGTCGTCGTCGTCGTCGCAATGTCGTCGTCGCCTCTTAGGGCGCGCAGTCGTCGTCGTCGTCGTCGTCGCCGCCGTCGTCGTCGTCGTCGTCGTCGTCGTCGTCGTCGTCGTCGTCGTCGTCGTCGTCGTCGTCGTCGTCGTCCTCGTCGTCCTCGTCGTCCTCGTCGTCCTCGTCGTCCTCGTCGTCGTCCTCGTCTTCGTCGTTTCGTCGTCTTCGTCGTCGTCGTCGGATGGACCCCTTCCCAGGATCCATCCAGCGCAGTTTCCACTCCAGATCGAAGCCCGACGACCCCACGGCACGAGAACGGCCCCCGAAGGCAGAAAGCGCCGAACAACCGTTTCGAACATTGAAGTTCGAAGTTCGTCGTCGTCGTCGTCGTCGCCGCCGCCGCCGTCGTCGTCGTCGGCAAACGTCGGCAGAGAAGGCGATCAGTCACCGTCCAAGTCAACTTCCCGGACAACTCTCTGGCAGCGCCATGGTACTTCGGAGCCTGTGGAGACTCTCGGGCCCATGATAAACAATGTCTCCGGAAGATGTTTTGTTGGGGCGTGTTGGGGGGCCTCTTGGGCGTTCCCTGGAAACCCCTTGGGGGCCTCTTGGGGCTTCCTGGGGGCCTCTTGGGGGCCTCACGGGGTTTCTTGGGAGCCTCTTGGTGGCCTCTGGGAGCCTACTGGGCGCCTCTAGGGCCAGAGACTTCAAACTATCGGTTCGCGGTTCCCCTCTGGGCCCCTTCTTGGGGCGCTCTTGGGGCACACTTGGGTTGTCTGGGGAGCCTCCTGGCCTGTCTTGGGGCCCTCTTCGGGGCCTCCTGGGCCGTCTTGGAGCGACCTGAATGGCCTCCGAGGCCGTGAGGGAGCGTCGGTAAGCGGGAAAAGCGAGAACGCCAAAATCCTCCAAAAACCATGGGACGATGTGTGAATTTTGCCTCCCAGGGCCCTCTTGGGGAGCCTCTTGAGGCCGTCCTGGAGCGTGTTGGGGTCCTCGTCGGCCGTCTTGAGGCGTCTTCGCGGCCTCTTGAGACTGTTTTGGGCCCTCTTGGGAGCCCTGGAGCTTGCGTTTTTTCCCTCGCGCCCTTCATGGGCCCGCCCTCGCGCGAGCGGGGTGAATGAATGAATGAATTGGGAGCCCCTTAGCCTGTCGTGGCCCGTTTCGGGGCGGGCCAGGGCTTTCTCGGGAGCTCTGGGATCCCCGCAGAAACCCAGGGGGGCGCCCATGGAGGGTGCAGGCACAGTCTTGGGGGCACTGGCCCAACTCGACTTGGGGTCCTCTTGGGGTGCTCCAGGGCCGTCTTGGAGGCCATCTTGGGCGTGTTGGAGGCCTCTCGTGCCGAATTGGGGCCCTTCTGGGAATGTCTTGGGGGCATCTTGGTTCGTTCTGGGGCCATCCCGGAAACCTCTTGGGCGATCTTGGGGCAATCTTTTGGGGCTCTCTTGGGCCGTCTCGGGCCGTCGGAAGGCCGAAAAGAAGCAAATGCCATAATCCTTCAAACACCCCAGGAACATGAATGATTTTGGCCTCTTCGGGCCTTCCTGGAGGCCCTCTTGGAGGCCTCCTGGGCCGTCTTGGGCCATCTTAGAGCCATCTTGGGCCGTCTTGGTGAGCTCCTGGACCGTCTGACGCCGACTTGGGGCCCTTTTGGGGTGCTCCAGGGCCGTCTTGGAGGCCGTCTGAGGCGTCGTAGAGGCCTCTTGGGCTGCTTGGGGCTCTTTTGGGGCCGTCTTGGGGGCCTCTTGGGCCGATCTGGAGCCATCCTGGGGGTCTCTTGGGCGATCTTGGGGCGATCTTTGGGGGCTCTCTTGGGCCGTCGTAAGGCCGAAAAGAAGCAAATGCCCAAATCCTTCAACAACCTGCCGAAATCAGATTTTGGCCTCTTCGGGCCTTTCTGGAGGCCCTCTGGGAGGCCTCCTGGGCCGTCTTGGGCCATCTTAGAGCCATCTTGGGCTGTCTTGATGGGCTCCGGGCCCGTCTGACGCCGACTTGGGGCCCTTTTGGGGTGCTCCAGGGCCGTCTTGGAGGCCGTCTTGGGCGTCTTGGAGGCCTCTTGGGCTGCTTGGGGCCCTTTTGGGGCCGTCTTGGGGGCCTTTTGGGCCGATCGGGCGATCTAGGAGCGATCTTTGGGGGCTCTTGGGCACCTCTCGGGCAGTCGGAAGGCCGAAAAGAAGCAAATGCCCAAATCCTTCAACAACCTGGGGAAATCAGATTTTGGCCTCTTCAGGCCTTCCTGGAGGCCCTCTTGGAGGCCTCCTGGGCCGTCTTGGGCCATCTTAGGGCCATCTTGGGCCGTTTTGGTGAGCTTCTGGACCGTCTGACGCCATCTTCGGCCCTCTTGGGGTGCTCCAGGGCCGTCTTGGAGGCTTCCTGGGGCGTCTTAGAAGCCTCCTGGGCCGTGTTGGACCGGGAACAGGGGGTCCTGGAGTTCCGGCCCCCCCATGGAGACATGGGGCTGGTCCCCCCCTGGGACCTGGAACCCCAGTTTTTTGTTGTTTCTCTCTCTCTCTCTCTTTCTCTCTTGTTCTTTATCTCTCTCTCTCTCTATATATATACATATATATATATACACATATTTATATATATATACACACCTAAGTATATGTGTATGTGTCCACGGTGGACCTATGCATATACATCTGTATGCAAGTGTATGTACAGAGGAAATCACACAATCACGAAGAGACAGATAACGATCTGTATGTATACGCCTATATATAGAGAGAGCGTGAGAGAGATATGTCCCAATGTGCTGAAAGGTCAGCAATGGACATTCGGTCCACGAGGCGCTGTCTTGCTAAGCGGCGCTCCTGCCACTAACGACGTTAATGTTTGTCAGTCGCTTGGCTATTGCCGTATGAGATATCAAGGTGCCTCTTGGAGACAACGCGCGACAACAGCGCTCTTCGCCTTTTGATGCATGCTTGTCTGTTTCACAAGCGGGCCGCCCCTTCTTCATCGCCAGAACGTCTTGCTCGACATGCTGTGTTTGACATGCAGTGATCGTGGTACCAAGAGGATTATCACAGTCATACGCAGAGAACGTGTTCCTGCCGTGGTAAAGCTCGGGCACACATAGGTTCCCCGACCTCGATCTAAGGAACGGCCCGAACACCTGAGCCCCTCCTAAACCCAACATGGTCAGCATTTCAGCGATTTGGCTGTACTGACCTGCTTCGGGAGGGGAGGGGGGAGGGGGGGCGGCGGGGCAACTCACGACTCCCCGGGGGGAGGTGCGATGGGAGAAGGGCGAGTAACGCGGAACAGGGCAGGTAAGCATCGCAGAATCAAGCGCAGACGATGGCTCACTGCCGACAGCGACGTGCCTGAGCAGAGGAGGAAAGGTGCGGGCGTAAGCATGCGAGCGACGAGAAGACAAGGGTCTTACGCGAGATGGCATAGTGACCTTACTCGGTGACTAACGCGGTCGCTGGCGTGGCACACTGCGTTGAAAACGGGGGCGCTCACGCGCGACCTTACGATTTCAGCTTGCGCAAAAGATGTCCGTGCAGTCGAACCCGTTTGTCTGCGTCGCTCATGTGGCGAGCTGGGCCTTCCTCCCAGCCGCCGAGGCTGGCGGCTGCAGTCGTGGTGATCCGCGCAGGCGGCGAGAGATGCCTGGCTGGGCGCGAGCGCGCAGAACCTTCGAGGCCCTGCCAGAGTACGGCGGGCCCACGTCAGGAAAGATGCCGGGCGATGGCCTGCGACGCCCCGGATCGCTCAACCTCGAAGGATCGCGCTTTGCGAGTCTAGAGGAACAGACAAAGACATGAACAGGGACGTCTTGAGAACAGCGCGGACCTCCGCCGGTTCATGCTCATGCCACATCCTGCCCCGCGACATTATCTTCGCGCCCCTTCGCGCGACCCAGCTCAACCTGCAGCGCCCTGGCTGGTGCTGGCCGCCGCGACGGCGCGGAGCGAGCCTGCTCGCGCCATGCGGGTGCCCCGCTCGGCCCCGCGATCGGAGGCACCCCCTCCCGCGGCCAGCGGCCCCGTGGGCCCCTCCCGGGAGCTTTCTGGGGAGCCTCATGACACCCGCGATGTGACTGCGGACGGTCCCACCAAGGGGAGCATCGACAGAGCGATGCCCCTACAGGTCATGGGAGGTATACGATCCTTTGAGCATGACTTCAAGAGTCATGCTCCCTATCGTGCTGGCCAGACATCCCGTTCTGTGGCCGCCTGAGGAGTATCTGTATGCACAGAACAGTACAGGCAAGGCAACTTGCGTGCGGGTCCACCTTCCTTACGGCCCCGCCCTTTTGCTGCCCCTTTTGTAGATAGTCGCTGCTGTATCTGCTGTATAGAGGCGGCGGGTTCACGCCTCGTCTCCCTCCCCTCCCGACTCTAAAGTGAGCTGGGCGTTGCATGCGAGCGGGAACGAGCGTGCATCCGCGGCTGCTTGGCTGAAAGCGGCCGGCCGCCCAGATCTGACTACACCTCAGCGCGAGGCGTACTATTTGCCATCGATGCCACAACTGCTTGAGATGGCTCGCCCCCTACTACTGGAACTATCGTTACTGCGGTACAGCAGAGCGGGAGCTGGGCTTCGCCTAAGGCGAAGCTGTTGGTTGGGCCTCCCAACCCCTTTCAAACTAAATCGTGTTTCTAGTTCGCGCGCGGGGCGGCCCCTGGGGTCCCCAGACGAAGAAAGGACCCCGGGCATAGCCTGGCACCCTTGCCCTAGGGCCGGTTTTATCTTCAGGGCGTCGCCCTTGGCGGTCGCAATGGCGCTCCAGGCGCCTTTATCGATGCGCGCAGGAAACTCCAGGGGCCCGAGACCGTCCAAGAGCGCTCCAAGATGTCCAACATCGCTTTTTTTTTTCTTTTCAAAATCCAAGAGGCCTCTCAAACGTCCCAACGGCGCTTCAAACGGAGACCCAAGAGGGCCTAGATAACCAACAGCTATCAATTTCTGCAAGTGCTTGAAAGATTTTGGCGTCGCCGC